TGCACAACGTTTAGAGGCATTCCTGGTCTCTATACACTGGATGACAGTAGCACCCCCTGTTCCACCAGACGAGACAACCAAAAGTATCTCCAGATATTGCCAAATGTCCCTGGGGGGGTGGCGGGGGGGGGGGGTAGAATCAGCCCTTGTTGAAAACCACTGGGCCAAGGGATGACTGGTTGGGGTTCTTGCCAAACTCTTGACCTGGGTGCCAGAGGAGGGAGGCCTTGGCCACGTCTCCTTGCCAGGCCAGCATAAAGCAGCCTACGGAGGAGCCCCAGAGGCTCAGGTTCCATTCTTAGTACCCAACATTCCACAGGAGAATGCTGGTTACCAGGCAACCACACATGCTCAGCCTAATACTCCCCTCAAAGGGGGAGGCCTGGTCCATGGCTTCTGGTTGAGCAGCCTCAGTGATTACTACCAAGACAAACCAGCTGTTCAATTCATCCGCGGATGGTTTACAATTGCCATACAAGCATATCACAGCGCCCCCCACCCCCACCCCGGTCCGATCTCATCATCCACCCTCCCCTTTGCTCAAGCCCCACTGGCCTCTCCCTGGCAGAGCTTCTAAGGAGCCAAGCAGCAACTAGCCCCTGGGTCAGATATTCTTAATTCCCTTACTCTCTTCTGGCTTCTGCTCAAATGTCACCTCTTTAGCTGTCCCAAGCCACCCCACATAAATAGAACAACTCCCTCGGCATGCTGACCATAACCGAATACAGTCCATGTTCATTTGTTTGCTTGTTGTGGTCTGCCCCGCCCGATAACTGCTGGAGGAATTCTTGCCGTGTTCCAGTTGCCTATTCAGCACCTGACACGATTAATCTGACAGATGGCGAATGAATTACCCTGGAAACGAGCCATTCCAGGCAAGGCTCAGGCTCAGGCCTCAGGACCCAAGGTACCCTGCTCAGTCCAAACCTTCCAAACATCTACTGCTCGCCCCGGGGCCCGGAGCCTCTCCCAGCCCGGGGCTGTTAAGGGGCAAGAGGAGCTGCGACATCTTTCAGGGACACTGAACATGGGGGGTTGGGGGGCCGGTGAGGCAATGGCGACGGCAGCCGAGCCCGCTGACGGATCAGAAGGGTCAAAGCCTGGGAAAAAGCGGCCTGAGACTACGAGGTCCGGAAAGTCCAGGCTAGCGGCGGAGGCGATGGAGAAAAGGCCTCGGGCCCCGAGGCCGGAGCCCGCAGTCACAGGCGACGGAAGCCAAAATCTCAGGCGACCCAGAGCCAGAGCGCGAGGGTGCAAGCACAGAGCCCCGAGGAGCCGAAGCCTGAGGGGCGCGAACCTGAGAGGACCCGTCCGCGGCGCCATTTTGTGGCCGCAGAGAGGGCAGTATCCCGGCCCCGGGGGAGGCGCGGGCGAGCCTGGCGCGGCCTTGGCACGTCCTCGTCCCTACCCACCCGGGCCTGACTCCCGGCCCTGCCGGCTCACCTGTGTAGCTCATGGCAGCGGCGTACACTGTGCCTGAGGACGCCGCCGGATGCCCCGCACGTCAGACGCGAAGATTGCCGTGACAATCCCCCGGGCTCTTTCTACGTATAACGGAGCCCCGCCTCCCGACCGCATTGGTTCACGCCCAGCTCTGACCTCACGTCTATTAGGCCACGAAGCCGTCTGTCTCAGGACAGCCTCATATTAATGGCTGAGGCTGTTGTCAATCTCACGAGAACCCCGCCCTGCTCCCGCCTTTCGTTTATTTCCAGTCTGAGGTGATTGGTTAAAAATAACGTGTAGAGCTCGGAGGGGCGGAGCTATGTGCTACGGAAAGCCCCGAGGCTCAAGTGTGGCCGGGTGGGCGGAGGGTCTGTGACCTGGAGGCCCGCCAGAGGGAGCTGGGTCTACAGCGAAGGGCACCGCTGGAATTGCGGTTCTCCCACCGGGGTGCGGGGCCAACGTGGACTGTTTCTAACATCTTTGGCCTTCAGCTCCAGATGAGCGCGGTAAAGCCATATTGGAATGAAAATTACAACTAAGCGCCGAACAAGATGCTGGGCACAGGTTCAAACATGTGAGGTAATATATATAAAGCAATCACTCCAGTGCTGGGTGTACTAATTGTTACGTTTTGTTATGACGGTTACATAAAAATAACAAACATATTTATATAGCATGTTTATATTATATATGTAATAAATGTAATTTATTATCTGGGATGTTTCCTCACACACCTGCAAAGACCTTGTTTTTTGAATTCTCATTTAAAGAAACAGAGACTTGGAATTCATGACTCGCTCAAAGTCCTTGATGCTTAAGTGTTAAAGCTGGAATGACCCACTAAAATCTTCTTGGTCCTTCTGGACTTCAGAGATCCTGCAGTGGCCTAGCCAGGTTCCAGCCTGTCCTCAGCACCCTGTGTGGATATGTGCAATCCAGTGTCATAATTTCTCAGACACTTAAAATGATACTTGTGAAAATTCATCAAGCTACACAATTGACTTGTACACTTTTATATCATAATTCGGATGAGGATAAGGGGGTGAAGAGTTTATAACTGAAGAGATTGGTCATGAGTTAATCGATGAGTAGATGAGGGCTCACTGTAGAGTTGGAATTCTCCATAAAATTTTAGTGAAACAACTCCTTCCCACACACACACACAAATGGGGCTTCTGCAGAACTTGCTGTCATGTGGGGCAACAAACTCCTTGTGTAAAGCATGTTAAGCTCTGGTCAATGTGCATTCCAGCTTTGGGACTTGGCTTATTTGTGTCACCCTCAGAGATACCCGCCTGCCTGGTCTCCAAAGCAGTGCCCTGGACACTTCTCCTTCATAGCACCTACCACAGCCATCATTTTATCCTCACATGATGATTGTTAATAAATTCATCCCTCCACCTCAGACAGAGTGGGTCAAAATGACTTAAGGGATGTGCTCAGATGTTTTAGGAAAAGATCCCTCTGTGGTAAGAACTATGTGACCCATTCAAGGACTCACACAGCTATCACTACACAACTGTGGGTGAGATAGGCCATCTCATATTACTTTGTAAGTTCTTCCATCATTCGAACTTTTTTATATTCAACTTGTGTCACTTTTATACTTTTTAAACTAATTTGTAAAAAAAAAATTAAAAATTGCCTTTAAGTGAGCTCTGAGCCAAGAGATATCCTCCTCCTGTTTTCAAAGCCTCAGATACTCCTACCCACAGCTCAGGATACACAGCAGTGGTGGAAACCTTCCTCCACCAGGCAAGACGTGTGTCCTGACCTCCCACAAGCAGAAAAGTCAAGCATGAAGGACAAGACCACTCCTGTGGGTACATTGTCATAGCTTCTTTGCCCCTTTCCCAGCCAGGTACATGGTGGGGGCTGGGTAAAAGGGTTGGGGGCTGAAGAGGCTTCTGTTTATACCCCATGAGGTCATTTCCCGCTTTCCAGCCCTTGGCCGCGAGTGAAAACGATGAGCTGAAAAACCACATGCAATAAACAAGAAGGAGCAGCCAACAAAATCTCTTAAAATCTCAGAAATGTTCAATAAACATTTGCAGAGTGAGAAAATAAATAACATTGCAGAGGAGCCAACAGCTCGCTTTCTCCTTGTTACTGGGGTTCAGGGTGCGTGTATCTCCTGACAGGTCACAGGTCTTGAAGGCAGGCCCGTCCCAGCTCTCTAAGGGGTCCTGACAGCTATGCACTCCTCCCTCCCCCAGGAGCCTCCACACCCTAGATGGTCAGCTCCTGCATCCAAGAGCCCTTGGGCCTCAGTCACTTCTCCATCCTGGCTCCCTTCCTGGACCAGCTGCCCAAAGCCCTGTTTCCTCTCCTCTGCATACAGCAGCCACGTCACCAGCTGGCCAGAGTCCACACCGGCCACGCCATTGAGGGCCAACAAGCTGGGAATTTGAGCTCATCCCCAGCTGGGTCTGGTTGGTTTGGTGGCCAAAGGGAAAACCCAGGACCTCCTGAGACTCTGGGTGGAGGCGGCTTGATCCCAGCCCCAGGTGCCAGCTGATGCCAGCCTGTCCACTTGACAGAAAAACACACGCTGGCCACCTGCCCCGGGGTATTTCCAGAAGAGAAATTTAATCTAATTTACATACTTCTAGGTACATTGATAACCAAAATGTGGCCAATGAAAAAAGTTAAAAGATTGATCAGCTCCCAGTTTCTAGCTGGCCCAGGATCGCAAAATAAAAAGATCCACGTTCCTTATTCTCTACACAAAATGCGTTTTTAAAAAAGTGAAAGGTCTAGGGAGCTGTACATAGACAGGAACAGTGAAAAGAGGGAGGGGGTAGGAGTGGGGAGGAGAATCCCACCCCACCCCTTCCAGGGCCCAGAGCCCCCAGAGGTTCTGGGGGCCTGGACATGGCAGGAGGCAGCTGTCAGCTCTGAGCTCTTCCCAGCTTGGAAGGCCCCTCTGGGGGAGGGGGCGGCCAACAAGGATTTCCGTGGCATTATGGGCTCAGTGGGGGCTCCCAGGCCTCAGTGGGCCCGCAGAGGGAGCGTACCTTCCCCTGAGCAAGCACCGTGGCGTGATGTGTTCGTTTGACTCGGGAACTGGGGGGCTGGGGCAGATCCCGGTCTCACGAAGTGTGTGCGCGTGTGTGCGTGCGTGTGTGTGTGTGTGTGTGTGTGTGTGTGTGAGTGTGTGTGTGTTAGCATATGCGTGTGTGAGAGGATATTCACGGGGCAAGAGGGAACCAGGACAGGGGGTCTTTGGAGTCCTTGTAAATGGCCACAGATGGCAAACAAAGCCCCACCTGGCTGCTAGACATTGGGGAGTGCTGGCCTTCCTCCCATGACCAGATCAGTGCCCTGGCTGGATTGGGTAGGTGTGGCCTGAAGGAACACACCCTGGGTTTGGCCCCAGAGTCCTTGAGCTGGGGGAGGGGCGCCCTGGCTGTAGTGTGCCCGGCCCCCAAGGGTGCCGGTTTGAGGTTTTGGCTTGCTCCTTTGGGAACGGAAAAGAGAGGAGGAGGAGAGAGAGGAGGAGACCAAGGAGTAGGAGACAGAGGTGGCACGGAGAGATCTGGAATGCTTTTGTGTTAGGGTGCCTCTGCCGCCGCTGTCTGTGCTGGAGGGGCCTGGGGCTCCTCAGGCGGGGGGTCTGCTTTGGAGAAATTCATCTCCAGGATGTGCCGCTGTAAGTGCCGCACCCACTCCTCCTGGATGGAGAGAGGTCCCTGGAATTCCACCTCACAGAACCTGTGTGGGGACAGAGAAAGGGAGGAGTGGCCAGTGCCCTGGTTACACCCTGAGTGTCCAACAAACCTGAGGGTGCTCAGTGTGGACAGAACCAGACCAGGATTTGAGGGAAGGGAGCCCAGACGCCAGATGTTCCCCGATGGACAGCTATCTACCCATCAGGGGGTACTGGCCAGGTCTCCCGGAGCCCCATTTCTACACTCAGGCAGTCTGCTGGCTCAGGTGCAGGGCATGGGTCAACTGGCTTTCCAAGCACTTCCACCATCTGACTATAGGCATGTGCCCTGATTGGAGAGAGTAGAGAAACAGATCCTGCCCTGCCAAGCTCAGGAGAGAAGGATAAAGCTAGGGAAAGGAGGATCCGACACTAACAAGTACCTACCCTGCTCATGCACCCTTCACCAGCTCCCAGCCCTCACAGCCGTAAGGAAGGTCTCACAGCACGTGGGCTCCAAACTCAGTCTAGTGGCTGGAGAGACGTAGGTCTGAATCTTACTTCTGACTTGCCCTCTGTGGCCTGAGGAGGCCCTCTCACATCCCAGACTCTGTTTCCTGGCCTCTGACACTCACCTTGACTTCAGTATTAATAAACTAAGACCTATTTTTTTTTTTTTCTTAATCAGGAAGACACTTTTTGAGAATTTACTGTGTTCTAGGCACAGTCTGAGTCCTTTATAAACATTCAACTCTTAATCCTCATAACAAATCAATCAGGTAGGTCTGCTATTAATCCCATTATTATAGGTTGGAATATTGAGTCATGGAGCAGAAAGTTTTCGCCCAAGGTCACTAAGCTGCTAGGTGTCAGGGTCCCAGCCTCATGCTCTGAGGTATCTCTGTCCGTGAGGAGCCTTTAGCCTGGACCCCGCCCATCCCAAGGAATTGTTGCGGTTCCCTTTCCCAGCCCTGAGTAGCCCCTGTCCTGTTTAGAGGCTCTGGCTGGCCAAACCCCAGGCAGGTAGCCTCCCACCTCCCCTCCTCTCCCTCTCCCAGGGGCCTCATACCTGCACTTGAGGGTATAGATGTTGCCGACGAACTTAACCAGTGATGTCTGGGGGGGACGAGGCACCAAGGAGGGGACTGGCCGGACCCGGGGTGGGGGTTGCCGCACCTCCTCCAGCTTCTGCTGCAGGTCATTGGCCTCCTCACCCCCCCTGGCCGCAGAGGAATCTGTAGGGCGGGCTTGTCGGCGCTCAAATTCTGAAGAGGGGGAGGAGAGGGATGGGAAATAAGCTGGAGGGTGAGGACCTTGGAGAGGTTCCTCCTTCAGCAAGTGATGGGCGATTACTGTGGGGACCTGTAAGACGGGCAGCTGGTGCCTGGATGCTGCCGGGCCCTGGTGACAGGTGGGATGGTGGATGGATAAATGAATGGGTGAGCAAGTGAGGAAGTGATTCCAAGACAGATGCACAGCAGAAAACCTGGGGGAACAGTGGATGCACCCTGCTGGTGTCCATTGCCCTCATGACCCTCTGCCCCCAACACTCACTGTTGATGTTCTGCCGCTGGTGCTCCTCGGCTTTCACAGTGCCCGGTGGGCTGGCTGCCAAAGGCCGCTCACCACTGTCGGCTGCCCGGCCAGCCTCCGGCCCTGGCTCACCCCCAGCACTGCGGCCCACCATGGACAGGCCCCCAGGTGCCAGCCCCAGGTGTAGCCGCTTGTCGCCCTCACGGCCGTGGCCAGCGTTTCGGAACTTCTTGGTGAAGGGGCGGCCGCCCTGGATGTAGCTGCGGTAGGCGCCCACCTTCTGGGGCCGGTGCTTGATCCACTCGCTCAGCGTCTCAATGGGTGAGCCATTCACGCACCACTCAGTCACACCGAACTGCCGCAGATGCGCCCGAGCATGGCTGGCCAGGGCCTTGCGGTTTTCGAAGTAAAGGCCACACAGCTCACAGCAGGCCTCGGTGGCTGCAGACAGAGGGGGCGCTGCTGAGCCCCAGAACCAAGGGAGCAAGGGTACCCAGAAGTTGCCGCCCAAGTCGGGAGACAACCCCGCCTCCCACTGGGGCCTTGACCCCTGTTGGGGGTGGGCATGCGTGTGGCAGTGCCCGGCCATGCAGGCCCTGGCAGATGCCCTCCCAAGACCCTGCCACCCGCTGCTTACAGGAGTGGGAGGTCTTCTCGTGAAGGGTCTTTGCCTTGAAGGGCAGTTCAGTCTGGATGTAGGTCTTGGCCTTGACCTCTGCAGAGAGGAAGCGATCCTCCTGCAGGGGTCGCTTGGCTGCCACTGAGCCCAGGTAGCTGGTGGCTGAGGGCTTGGCACCGGTGAGGGGTGCCAGGTTGAGCTCACGGGGTACCTGGGCCAGCCCAGCTCCTGGTTTGCCTGGCCGGCCAGCCATTGGCACCAGCGGCAGGAGGGGCTGTATAGACCCAGGAACCACTGTAGGGGGCCCATCCTCAACCAAGGCAGGGGCCAGGTCTCCAGCTGGAGGCTCCTTCTTGATGAGGCACAGCTTAGACTTCTTCTTAAGGATCTCCCGAAGCGTGTCGATGGGCGAGCCATTGACGGACCACTCAGTCACACCCATCTGTCGCAGGTGGGAGCGTGCGTGGCTGGACAGGCCTTTTCGGTTCTCAAAGAACTCACCGCAGAACTCACAGCGGATGTCACGCACTGGCTCTGCCCGAGATGCTGAATGGGGTTTGGGAAGAGAGGAAAGAGAGAGGTGGCTACTGGCAGGAAGCCTTAAGCTCAAGGCCAGTGTTAATTGCCCTGCTGACCCGTCCATGCAGTCCCAGACCCGAAGGACCTGCTCCCTCATCTTCCTCCAGGGGCCTTGGTGTACATCTAGTCCTTCTGCTTGTTCTGTCACTTCAAAGTCTAGCTGGCTTCCAGAAGACTCCCTGGGACATGGTGATATGTTAAGGAGCAAGCACTCCTTTGATCCGGGATTCAGATGCCAGGGTGACTGTGACCCAATGTGATGCTTGGTAAGCAAGTTGCCCGCTGAGCCTGTTTCCTCCTCTGCAAAATGGAGATGAAAATTTCCACCTCCCAGCATTACTGGGATGTGGGATGGCCTAAGGCGGGAGCAGTTGAGCGCTCGGGGCACCAAGCAGCGTGAAATCACTGTGCTAAGGCCTAGGGCTGGGCCATCCTCATCTGCTGGGCATGCAGTAAAAGCTCAGCCAATCTAACAGTGCGAGAAAGAAGTAAATGACGGGCATTACAACTACTGCACACACAGCTTTTTTAGCCTGACACCATGCTAAGCACTTTACATCACTGACGAAAACCATACAGAGTGGGACCATGCTGATATCTATCCTGCAAAAGAGGGAACTTGCCAAAGGTCATATATTGCTAGGCTATGGGGCAGCTGAGAAGCTAATCTGAACCTGATCCCCACTTAAGTGTCCACAAATGTCAGAGAGATAGTTTAGACCCAACTTCTGGTGGGTTTCTATTCCTGCCCCTTGCAGACATCACTAATTAATCCTTGCAATCTATATTACTGGGAATCTGTTTGGTTGCCAATCAATTGAAAACGACACAAGAAATAGAATCTTTTTGCCATCTCTGAGTGTATGAAGGAGAATCAAGAGGCAGCTCAGGCCCTAACCGGTTTGGCTCAGTAGATAGAGCCTGTGGACTCAAGGGTCCCAGGTTCGTTTCTGGTCAAAGGCATGAACCTTGGTTGTGGGCATATACCCAGTAGGGAGTGTGCAGGAGGCAGCTGATTGATGTTTCTCTCTCATCGATGTTTCTCTCTCCCTTTCCCTTCTCTGTTAAAAAATTAAATTAAATTAAATTAAATTAAAAAATCAATAAAATATATTTTTTAAAAAAAAGAAAAGCAGCAGCAGCTCAGTAGCAGGAGCATACAGCTAGCTCCTTGTCTTCTGAACCTGTGTATCTTCCCTTCCATTTCAACCCTGGGACCTCTGGGTATCCTGCGGGGAGGGGGAAGGTAACCTCCCATCTGACCTGTTCTCCCTGCCTTGCCCCGGGGTCACACTTACACAGGTTCAGGGGGGCCATGTCTTCCCGTGACGCCACCCAGGGACCCTCAGACGGGTGTAGCTCCCCATGAAGGGTCCCTGGCAGCATCTCACGCTTGATCTCCACACGCATTTGTTCAGGCTTCAGCTTCTTGGTCAGGGAGGGTGCAGTCAGGCCTGAGAACATCTTTCTGGCCGTGGGAGGAGAAGCAGTTGGTGAGTGGCCCAGGGGACTGCCTGGTGGTGGCAACTTCTTGGCCAGGGGCGAGAGGTGAAGGTCTGCAGGGCTGCGGGCTTCCAGCGAGCTGCCAAGACCTCCGCTGCCCACCACCTTGGCCAAGGCTTTTGGACTGGGTCCTGGTGGACTGAGGGGTCCTCCAGGCCGGGACTGAGTCCGCCTCTTGAGGATCTCCCGCAGCGTGTCGATGGGCGAGCCGTTGACATACCACTCAGTCACACCCATCTGCCGCAGGTGGGAGCGCGCGTGGCTGGAAAGACCCTTTCGGTTCTCGAAGAACTCACCACAGAACTCGCAGCGGATATCGCGAGCTGGCTCTGGGCCTGAGGCTGCAGCAGAAGAAAGGGGCAGTCAGCACCATGGTTACCATAAGCATTGCCACCTGCGGGTCTCCTGGTCAGCTGGGCTGCAGCACGCCCGCAGGCTGGGATAGTGGTTGAGGGCAGGTGCAGGCCAGGGAGCTGAGGATTGGGGTGGGGGGCCAGACACCCAGCAGGAGCAAGGGGAGGCTCCAGAGAGCCATGGGCCCTAGGTCCTGGCGGAGAAAAACCGAACCAAGATTCCACAGCTCTGCAGGTCCCAACAAGGACTGGGGCAGGAGGGCAGGAAGTGGCAGCCTAAATGCCACGTGCCATCCAGACCAAGGACAACCATGGGCACGTTCCACATCAACAGGCAGCACCCCACCCTTGGCCTCCATTCCCAGGGAAGGTCACATTCATGGAGGTCAAAGGCCAAGAGGGAGGGCATAACAGCCGACTGCCAACAGTATCTCTGGGCAGAACGGGACCACTGCCCAAGGCCCCTGTCTACTCCCTGCCCCATCAAGGAGGGAGTAGGGAGGGGGCTGCGACCCCCCCGGGAGGGGCTCCAGGGCCCGAAGGGAGGATGGGGCAGCTGAAGCGAGAACCTACAGAGGTTGAGAGGAGACGGCTCCACATCAGAGGCCCAGAAAATGCCAGCGGCTGCGGCGGCCGAGAGGTCCTGCTTCCCCCAGGGGCTGGCCATACCCGCAGCCTTCAGCTTGGCCTTCTTGGCCGGCGGTGGGGGGGGGAGCAAGGAGAGGGCCGTGGAGGTGGGAGGAGGCCGCCCCAGCTGGGCCAGCACGCTGCGCCCGGGTGGGAGGCGATTCTGGATGCCGACCCTCCTGATGAGCCCGTGGAGCACGTCTATGGGGGATCCCTTGGCATCCGGGTCGCTGACGCCCAGGTGGCGCAGGTGGGCGCGGGCGTGGCTGGACAGGCCCTTGCGGGTCTCAAACCAGGCACCGCACAGCTGGCAGTCCAGCTCTCTGCCCCCGTCACTATCTAAAGCTGCGGAGACAAAACACAGGGGGGGGGTTCACGGCCGCCACCTTGGCCGGCCCTTAGGGAACTGAGACAGGAGGGCCTGGTGTGATTCTCGTCTGGCAGGCGGTCCGGGGTCCAAGACTTAGGTCACAGATAGACTTTTAAGAGGTTCTGGAAAGTGGGAAGTCCTGCCTTACTCTCTGGCATCAATGTAAGTGTGTAGAGATCAAGGATGTGGGGTAGAGAGGCAGTAGCCCAATTCCAGTGTCTAATCTGATGCTCTCGGGCCTTCTTCACTGGGACCCCAGCTTTGGGAGATCAGTAGGGTAGGTGACAGGTACAAAGCAGGGTCCGGCCTGGCTGCCCAGCATCATGCAGCTGAAGGCACATCTACTTGGGGCCCTGCTCCTAGCAGCACAGCAGACCATGGAAGCAGCTTCATTGGAACTTGAGGTGCCCCGCTGGGCAGGGGGCCAAGACCCAGGGCTCATCCCTAGGCTCTAGGGGCTGCCCACATGTGGGGAGGCCTGATTTCTTAGGGGCCACGTTAAACCTGCTCACTGAGACTTAGGGGGTTTCTTCCCACACCCTGCTTAGCCAGATCCACAGGCAGTCCGGACCCAGCACAAGTCAGAGATGCCTCTGCACGGGACTGATGGCCAAGAGCATGTGAAGACAGGGCTAACCATGGGACCTCCTTTCAGGTGGACCACGTGTCTGCCTACAGGACCCAAGACGCCCCACAGGTGGGGGCACGCACGCCTGGTTCCCTTCACTGCTCCAGCCCTCAGGCCCACATAAGGTGAACAGCTGTCCCTAAGTGACAGGGGTGATCTTAGCTGGCCTACCAGCCACAGCGGGAAGAACAGCAAAGTAAAGTGGGAGACAGGTGATAATATGCATATCAGGAGATGCAGCACCCTGACCGATATTCTGACCCAGAACACAGGAACTGCGGTCTCCAGTGCCCCCAACCCTGAACCCTATAGCCCAATCTGAGGCCTCCACCCTCCCAGTGCTGGTACCTCCCTCAGCTCCCAGGACCCACACTCACTGAGGTTCAGGGGCCCCTCGTCCTCAGACTGAGGCCACTGTGCCTTTGGGGAGATCGGCCGGGGACTCAGGGACAGCTGGGGGCTCTTGTCCTCAGGATTCTTGGGGATAGGGGAGCCTGCCAGGGCCAGTGGCGCCTTCTTGAGCAGTGGGGAGCTGGGCGGGTGAGCCAGGCCCTTGGCTGAGAAGCCAGGAGGCGACTTGATGGCCTTGTTGATAGCAGGGGCGTCCAGGGGCTTGGCCAGGCTGAGCAGGCTCTGTCGGGGGGCCCCAGCGACCACCTCCTTCGGGGAGCTGGACTTCTTAGTCAGGCCCGGGGGCAGCCCAAGGGGTGTGTCAGGCAGGCCCTTCTGCTTCACGAGCTCGTAGAGGAGGTCGATGGGGGCACCGCTGCTCTCAGACTCGGCCACACCCAGCTGCCGCAGGTGGGAGCGCGCATGGCTGGACAGGCCCTTGCGTGTCTCAAAGCAGGCACCGCAGACCTCGCAGGTGGTCAGGCTCTGGGCTAGAGGGCAAGACAGAGGCCAGGAGAGCCAGCTGTGAGGTCCCACAGGCCCTGCTCCCCCGCTTCTCTTCCCTTGGGGCCCCGCTCACTCAGCTCCGTAGAAGGGTTTTGCTTTGGTCAAGCCCAATGATCCTTAAAATGACCCTAATGAGGCAGGAAATGGCCTGTCCAGTTTGCAAATAAGGAAACTGAGTCTCAGAGAATGGAGGAACTATGCCCAAGGGGCCAGAGGCAGAGTCCTACCGTGGTCCAGCCGGTGAAATTCCTTTTGGATCTTTAATGTACTAATCTGGCAACAGGTTTTCACCCAACTTCTGACCTGACAGCCACACGCTTTACAGAGCTAAGTCCTAGCCACCCTCTGCCACTCAACTCATGCCCCAAACACTGGGCTGGAGGCCCCAGCCACCGTCTCGTAGTGCCCTGCACCCTCTTCTACAGAGCCCTTATCCCCCTGCCTGTCTGCTTCTTAGCCTCCCCGCTCCCCAACTTCAATGACCCCAAGGACAAGGGCCAGGTCTGTTCTGCATCTCTGACATGCCTGGGGTCCGGCACAGTGTTTTCACTACTCACTAATGACCTGAGAATCAACACACACACAAGGCAGGGTCATGAGGAAGATCACAAAGTCAGCCAATGAACTGGCTCTGAGTGAGAGCCCTTGACAACCATGACCACTGCTTCTGTGGATGCCCCTCCCTTGTCCAGTGAGGGTGAAGCTCAAGGCCATGCATGCCCAGGGCAGCAGGAGCTCAAGACAAAAAGACAGCTGGTGTCTCCTTGGTGCCTTGCGGTGCCAGAGATGAAGCTGTGGCCAATCTGGGGACCCACTTTAACCCCAGGTCCAAGAACTCCCTGTGAGTGTGACCAGCCTGGCCAGTACCATCACCCTGCCACCTGAGCCACTCACCCTTGAGGTCCGGCAGCTCTTGCTTGCTGCCATGAGAAACCTCTGCAGCCACTTTGCTGCTCAGCCGATTGGCCACCTGCTCCAGGGGCCCAGGAGCAGAGAGGCTCTTCCTGGGGAGCAGAGGGGGGCCCAAGTCCATGGCCACCATGGTGTTTTCTTCAGAACCCAGGCCTGTGAGGTTGGGAAGACAGCCTCAGCCTCAGCAAGGCATGGGCTGCCTATCCCTATAAGGACAGAGAGCGGGGACATGGTGGGGGGTTGCTTCATTCTCATCCTGGGCGCTACCCCCCCAAGCCAGTATGACACAGGGATGTCAAGCTTGCCCCCTGACAGCAGAGACTAGGAAGAACTTCCATCCCAGTCCCTGAATACAGGTCGGGGGACACAGTGTTAGTCAGAGCCAAGGCTCCCGTTCTAGAAGATCTCAGAGAAAATCTTAGGGCAGAACTTATGAGGGGAAACATCTGTCAGTCTGGGAGACAGGTGGGGGGTGGTCAGAAGAGGAATTCAGTAAGAGAAGGCCAGAGTCAGAGGCCATGCAGAGATGAGGAGCCAGGACAGAGAAGAAGCTCCTATGGACTTGTGGGAAGTTTCCAATCAACAAGACAGCTGGGGCTGGGGCCGCAGAAACAACTGGCCTACTTATCCCAAGCCGAGCTCTAAGGGGGGAAGCTGAGAATGACGACATCACTGGGGACAGGAAGAACAGGAATCATAGAACTTCGTATAAAGTTTGTGAAGCATCATCCATCATGCCAGTAAGCTTCCCTGGGTTGGGCGTGCATGAGGACAGGGAGTCAAAGGTGCATTTTCATGCTCTAATTTTTCAGAGAAAGCGGCCTGAGAAGCCCGTTGAGCAGCACCCCCTCCTTACCCCTTCCCCCCTCCCCCCCCCACACAAGGCTTGTGCTTAAGATTGTGAACAGGATGCCCCCCCATCTTAGGATGAAGGACCAGTGTGTCAGCCGGGGCCTTGGAGGCACTCAGTGCTATGATAGGGAAGCCGGTCGGTCCCCTAGTCAATGTGAATCCTACGAAAACAAGAAGACAAGCAGAGAGGGCCGGCAGGGCCACGACACCGAGGACTCCGGGGGAAGTGAAGTGGGCGCGTCTGTCAGACGGGACAGGGGCCGTGTCAGGGCCGAAGTGACTTGGAGTGGGTTTCCCCGCTGGAGAGGCCGGAACTCCGAGGAGGGGCATCCCGGGGCTCCCAGAGGGACAAAGGACATCTGTCACACGGGGCGAGGGTCCCACGGGGTGGCGGTGATTGTTTCCGAAACCCGAGACCCTGAGAGCGGCGACAGGAGGCCCAGGACCCGCGCGACGGGAGGGCCTGGGGGAGGGGCGCCCCGGAGACCGGACGGTGGTTGTCGGGGGCGAGCGGGACGCCGACTCTGTCCTCCCCTAACCCTCCCCGGCGCGGGCTCTTACCCGGCGCGGGCGCAGGCGCGGGCCCGGGCCCCGGCTCCGACTCGGCCTTGGGCCCGTCCCGCGACGGCGGCTGCGGCGGCGGCGGCGGCAGCGGCGGGGGTGGGGTCGGCGGCCGCGGCGCCGGGAGGGCCTCCGGGCCCGGGCTCGGGGGGCCGGGTGACGGCGCCCCCGCGGGCGCGCGCTCCCGGACGCCCACCGCGCGCGGCCCCGCGGCCGCCTTGCTCTCCGCTTTTGTCACTCGGCACTGGGCGGTGGAGGCGGCCATCTTGGCTCCGGCGCACGCGGGGCGGCCGCCCCAGGCGGGAGCAGCCGAGCGCCGAGCGCCGCCGCCGAACCCTCTCCTTTCCGCCCCGCCCCTTGGGGTGAGCCCAGGGCGGCCGGCCGAGCGCCGAGCGCCGCGAGCGAAACGATCGCCCGGCCCTACCTGCGCCGCGGCTCCCGGCGGCACGCAGGCCGCGCTCCACGCAGCTGCCAACGGCCGCCCCAGCCAGGGTAGCCCTAAAGCTCGATCCACATGCACCCGCTTAACAGCCTGTAGGTTCCCGGAGCCCCGACGAGCGGAGCTAGCTGCCCTGGGACCTGCTCCCTTCCCTTCCCTGGAAATCTCGCCTCCGGACCGGGCATCCTGGAAGATCCCTGGTTCCCAACCACGAGGACCCCCCAACATCATCCTGACCGCACTGTTCTGCAATTCTACAGAACTCCCCACACGGCCGGCACCACATTTTAAGCACAACCCGCTTCTCTCCAACACCAGACAGATTGCCCCCAGCTGTTCCTTGACAGCTGGGCGGGGCCAGAACCTGACCGTTGCCCCACCCCCAACGTGGCACCCGCCTCCTATGGGACAGGCTTTTAGGGACGGTTTTGTAAGTCCGATGCCCAGACCTAGCCCTAATCTTGGGCCTCCTTCCTCAAGGCAAGGCTCCCAGGATCTTCTCAAACTGCCCACCATCCACCGCGCCCCTCCTCCCTTCAATGAAAGACTGATCAGAGCTCTCCCTCACAAGGACAAGGCCAGGGCAGTGCTGGGCTGCTTCCTCGCACTCTAACGGTTGGCCAGCTCCCTCAGCACTAAGGAGGAGGCAGGCACACTGGTCTTCCCGTCAAAACAGTTTAGCCAGAGCTCAACCTGGCTGCTAGGTGTAAGGGATGTGAGGGATGTGAACCTGACATTCAAGCCTCTGTGGGAGTGACAAAGAAAGGGACAGGGCTAGAACCGAAGAACTGCCAGCTATGCCTCCAAGCCTCTCCTGAGACACCATAAACCTAGCCAGGTGTGAGAGCTGAATGCCCAGGGTGCAGTCTCCAACAGGCAAGAAGCCTGAGGTCATGTCCCTACTGAACTTCTCCCCAAAATGTGACCTCAGCCCACCATTATCTGTCTGTGCCTCAGTCACCTCTTTGTCCAAGGAGGACAAGGGGGCTTTGGTAGCCCTCCCCTCCCCTTGTGGATCCTCAGGTGCCCCTCACTGGTAAGGCGGCTTACAGATGGGGCCAGCCTATCCCAGAGTACTGACTGAGGTAAGACCCTGGAAGCTCTAGACAGAAGAAACAAAGAAGGAAGCCTCAGTCCCAAACAGCCTCTGGACAACACTCCCCTCCCCCTCCATGTTCAGGTACCTCCTCCATTCCCCGAAGCCCACCTATTTCTCACTGCAAAGTTCTCTGCCTCAAGGTCCAGTAAAGGCTTCTACAAAGCAGGGTCCTTCCATGGTGACTAACCCCAGGCCTCTTCACCAAAATACTTCTGAATTTCCCAAGTCATCTCACTAGAAAGACCACCAAACATGGTGTTCAGAAGCCTAGCTCTTCTGCTTTTGTGGCTATGGCAAAGCAGATGACCCCGTTTCCTTCTCTGTAAAACAGGAACACAACAGTCGTTAGCCCCGTGGAGTTGCTTTGTGGCGTCCATGGGATGAAACCTTAGTATACAGCAAGCACTCAGTTATGGGAGGGATTATCACCGCTGCCAGACAAATTAGGCACCGCTGGAAACCTAGACTGTAGATTCTAGAGCCATACTGCCCAATAGGATCGGGCTAACCCTTTCCATTTCAAGTTCTCAACAGCATATGTGACTAGTGGTGACCTAACAGATCTCCACTCTCAGAAAGTTCTACCAAATGGCATTGCTCTGCCATGAAGAGCCTGGCCTGCCTGAGGTTTCAAATCCCGGCTTCACCACTTCTGGCTGTGTGACCTTGGGCAGGTTAATTAGGTTCTCTGTGCCTCAGTTTCCTCACTTGTAAAATGGGGGCTCATCATACTACCCTTATAGGGTTGTCATGAGGATGTACATTTCATGTTTGTAAAGTGCTTAGAACAGTATCTCACTCCTGGCAAGAGAGCCAGTAAGCACATGTTAAAGTCACTGTCAGACAAGGCGAGGTGGAGCTGGGCCTGGGAGGAGCTCTGGGCCAGCCCAGGTAACACAGAAGTGACCCATAAGTGGCAGGGTAGTTGTGGGGACACTTGTCAACGTACTTTGTAGAGTAACTTGAAATACTTTCAGAAAAGGGGAGTGGCTGCCCCCCTCCCACCCCTCCATCCCTCTGGGCTCCTGCAAAGGGTCGGGGCTCCACACCTGCCCACCTTCTCTCCCCTTACCATCTCCGTAGGCTGGCCCAGGGTCCTCAGCCCAGGTGGGTGGGAAGGGCACTGTGAGAGGTAAGCGGGGCCTGCGAGGGGTCAGATAGCCACCAGGCAGCCCCCCGGGCTCATGGCCAAGGGGGCTGGGGGGCCTCTCGGCGGCCGATGTGGCCAGCAGCTCCTGTAGGATGTTGATGGGTGACACGGTGAGCTCCCAGTTAGTGATGCCAAAGTCACGCAGGTGGGCCCGGGCGTGGCTGGAGAGGCCAGCCCTGGTGTCGAAGCCGGCCCCGCAGAAGTCACAGCGCATCAGGCTGAAGGTACCAGGGTCAAAGTTAGCCACTGTGGAGAGAGAAGAGACATGGACTGCCTGGGAGGGAAAGGGTAAGTGACTCCCCAGCCCCAGCCCTCCCTTCTCCTAGAACTGCTCACCCTCCCAGGATCACACATCTGGATGCCTCCCTTTCCCGTTGCCCATCATCCCCCTGCTTGTGTTAGCTCCTGAGTCCAAATTTCCCCCTCCCCCCCACTCCAAGAAACCTTCTCTCCTGACCTTCAGCCCCCCCACCTCCCCAATGGCTCCCAGACTGCACCCTCAAACCCTTCTTCATTTGTGGATTTGCAATCATTTGGGTGAGTGATCGATTAAGACCCTTTTCGAGTCTAGAATTCATATTCCCGGAGTTTCTCCCATCACAGCCCTGGTCACTCAACATCATAACTGCCTGATTTTGCGGCTGTCAGCCCATATCCCTCACCCCTAATGCATGCGCGTGCACACACACACACACACACACACATACACACACACACACTCTCTCTCAAACACCAGACCCCCATCTCCCAAAGCGGCCTCCATGACTGCCAGCATCAGACCCACCCAGGGTGCTCATGCTGGAGGAAGGCCTCTGGGAATCAGAACCTTGATGCCTGGGACTCTGCATATCTCACAGGCAGCCCCAGGGGTTCTGAAGCCAGCCAGAGTCCCCCCCCACTGCTGTGACGGGGCTGCGGACTCCAGGAGGGCAGGGACAGCTGCTTCCTTCACTGCTGTGGCCCCAATGCTCACAACAGGGGGACCTCGCTCAGTGAATACTTGTTGAATGAAGAAACCAGTGAGATCCCCTGCCTGGGGCTGCCTCCTCTGCCTACACTCCTTCCTCCAGCTGCTGGAAGGGCCGGGGCAGGGGTATCCCCGTACCTCCTCGGAGGTGGTTGCCTTTGCTGCGGCTCCCAGGTCTTCCCAGTGGGGAGGCCCCCGCTTCACCCAGCTCGGCACTATGGGAGGACTTAGAGTGAGGGCTGTTGGTTGGTTCAGACTCAGCTGCCCAGCTCTGTGTCTCGGGGGCCTCGGAGGGAGGTGGGTGCTGGATCGAAGCCCCCCTACCTTTTTTCTTCTTCTTCTGGAAGGAGAAGCTTTGTTCGATGGCCTTCACCTCCTCGGCGGAGATGAAATGCCGGACATTGTAGCTGACGCCCACACGGTTTAGGTGGCCCCGCACGTGGTTTGCCAGGCCGATGCCATTGTGGAAGCGATCGGGGCAGTAGGGGCACTTCCGCTCCTCGTGCTTCAGTGCCGCCGCGGGGTCCCCACCCAGGATTGTGTCCAGCCCCAGCGGGCTGCCCAGCGACGCATCCAGGAGGAGGAAGTCCAAGGGGTGGGTGCCCTCCAGCCCCAGCTCCTCGGGCGGCAGCCTTGGGGGCGCCCTCGCGGCCGCAGCCAAGACCTGGGACCTCAGCTTGGCCACCAGCACGATGGGTACCATCCCAAGGAGCTGCTGCTGCTGTGCTGGGGAGGCCTCGGCCGACCGCAGGGCTTCTCGGAAAGTCCGCTTCAGCTCCAGGGCTGGCTCTGGGATGAGGCCAGGGACAGCGAGAGGTGGGAAGACCCCGCTTTCGGGGAAAAAGTCCATTTCTGAGGCCAGCTGCATATCCTCCTCCTCCTCTTCGCTCCAGGGGTGTCTTTGGTCCCCCAGTGGGGCTGGGAGCCCCTGCAAATGGATAGCGTTTTCGCTTCTACTGGGCTGTAAGGAATACGGGGTGGATGCCAGGGGCGAGGGAAAGGCTGGCCTTCCCAGGGGCCTCTGGCCCACGCTGTGCGGCAGTGGCTTTGACAGTGGGAAATCCCTTCTGCCCAGCTGCTGGCAGCCTGGGCCAAAGGCCAGGCTGGGGTCGTATCCAGTAGGGTTCTCCAAAAACGGCTCAGCGTTGCCAAAGTAGTCCTCAGCAGCTTCGGGGAAGCGGGCATACACGTCCTGGCTGGTGCCAGGCTGGCTGGCAGGGTTCTCCTCAAACGCCTCGCCATCCTCCTCCCAGTGGGGACGGGCGTGCACGAGCCTCACGTGCTCCCTGAGTAGGCTCTCGCTGGGCGCTGGGAAGCCACAGAAGATGCAAGCATGGAGGCCCGGGGAGGCTCCATAGGGCTCATAGCCGAGGGCAGCGGCGTCGGGGCCCGGGCTGCCCCCCCCAAAGTGCTCCTTGGCAGCCTGGCCCGGTGACTCGCGCACGTGCAGCTTGGCATGCTGCACGAAGGCCTTGGAGGAACTGGTGCCAAAGACACACTTAGAGCACTGCAGCCGCGCCTCCCGGCCCTCGTCGTTCGGGACCCGCTTCAGCTTCTGGATTTCTTCGAGAATCTTCTCCCGGGAGGCCTGGTGCCGCTGCCGGTGGTGCTCCAGGGCACAGGGGTCAGCGAAGGCCCAGCCACACTCGCCGCAGGCCAGTGGGGCCAAGTTGGCGGGCGGCTCCTGGCCTGGGGCTCGGCGATGCTGGCTCATGTGCTCCAGGAGGTGCTCCTTCTGCTTGAAGTAGATGCTGCACTCCACGCACGGGAATACGGTGGGGTCCTCGTCCTCGTCCTCCTCCGGGCTGGCCACCCCCTCAGCCACCTCCTGCAGCAGCTCACACAGGTAGGGACCGGTCCGGACGGGGGGCAGCAGTGGCTGCAGGCGCTCCACAGATGCCTCTGCGTTCACCGTCCAGGTCTGAGTGGCCACTTCCGTGGCTGACCTAGGCAGACACCACTCCGAGGCTGGCTGGGCCAGACCCTCCAGATCTGTCAAGTGCTCCCTGGCTCCTTCCTCCACATCCAAGTTCTTCGCGGCGCCCTCTCCAGGCACCAGCACGGTCCTGAAGGAGGTGAGAGGCGGCGGTGGGGGCAGCAGGTCCAGGGGCAGCCCTGCGTTCTGGGGTGGGGACTGCTCCTCTGAGTCTTGGAGCCAGCTGAACCTGGAGTGGCCCTGCGGGGACTTCTCCGAGAGCTTCGGTTCGCCCTGGTGGTACAAGAACCTTCCAGAGCCCTCAAGCTCAGCGTGGGGCTTCACAGTTCTCACAATGACCGAGTCCTCGAACCTCTGCTCAGAGGGGATGCCCTCCCCAGCTTCCTGGACCAGGGGGTGCTCCCAGGGCCCCCGGCCATCAGGGAGGCCAGAGAAGTGGCCCAGGAGATGGGGTGGTGGGGAACCTGGCCGGAAGTCCAGGCTGCCTCCATCCCAGCAGCTGCAAGGAAGTGCCAATGGGGATAGGTTAGCCAGGGGCCTGTTTCCCTCCCTTGGGCAGGGGAGAGGGGTCCTCCCAGGCAGCCTGAGACAAGCCCCAAAGATCCAGCCCAAGCATGACCTCAGAGTGGCCAGGAGTGTGGGGGTGAGGAGTGGGGGTGGGGGGGAGGATGTGTGGACCATTCTAGAGATGTTGGACCAAAGGCCAGATTCAGCTCCCAGGATGCACCTCCTCATACAGCCTAGCCCTGTTGCACTGTGGGGAGTGTGTAGTCACAAGGTGTTTCCCAAGCCTGGGGGCACAGTCAACTCTCATTTGTCCCCTGGGAAGGCCCAAGGCTCTGGCCTATGTTCCAGGCTGCTTTTGCATTAGTCCTCCCTGAACTGGGGGCATTTAATTTATTTAGTTTCACCTTTCCAGCAAATTTGCCGCAACCCTGTGGCATGAACTGCTCCAGGCATGTAGCTCCCTCTGTCACTCCTCTAACCCACACAGCATCTTTCCTCTTGGAAGGGCAGAGTCAGGGAGATACAAAGTCCCCACCCAGCCCTGGCCCCAGTGACCCGGATCTCTTTTGGAGGATGGAGGAGTAAGGCCACCTCACTGAACCTCAGTTTTCCTAATAATGGGACAAGTCTCAAGAACAAGAAACTTCCATGCTCTGATGCAATGTCTAGGGAACACTCTCACTCTCGTATCCGTAACCGAAGAAACTTTAACACGTGGCAGGTGCTTATGTAAAGCATCCTAACCACAGCCCTTCAACAGGGGACCGAGAACACGTGAAGTGCACGGTGAAGATGTCACAACTCAGTGTTGGGGAAACACCTCACTTGGCCCGAAGCCTGGCACCCGATCAGCCCATGACTAATGTGGGTTCTTCCTATCACTGCTCCTGACCCATCTCCCTTCACTTTCTGCCTCCCCCAGGGATGTTAGCCCCGCATTGAGGGGCCAGCCGGAAATCATGGGGCCACCTCTCTAAGCCCCATTGGTGACATGAGAGACTAACGGGACCATTCCCCCAGGGCTATGGGAAAAATTCAGTGGGGTGGACCTGTGCAGGAGCCTGGCATACAGTAAACGCTCAGTAACAGAGAGCTATGGTTAATCCTGATCTATTATTCCAGAATGACACCTGCCAAGCCTTTTGATAAAGCCACTACCCTAAGCATGACTGTGGATTTCTGTTCCTACCTAACATCCCTTGGATCCTCAAGACAAGCTGGCGAGATGCATGCAAGGGATTTTACAGATGAGGAAACTGAGTCTTAGAGAGGCCTATGTCATGCTAAGGGTCACTTGACAGAGACAGGACTCCCAGGGTCCTACCTCCAGGTTTACCTCTGGCTCTGCTCCTGACAGGGATAATGAGAGTTGACTGTCTGTGTTCATCCCCGTCCTCCCCCACCCCCTGCTCGCACCCCAGGGCCTTGCCTTCTGGGAGCTACCTTTTCCTGCCTGGCCTCCTGATTCCCTCGGGTCCCCTTCTCACTCCCGGGGCTACTCTCAGGCCTGGGAACATCCTACTTGCCCCCCTGCCCTCCCTGAGGTCAGGGCCAGCGTGGCACTCACCAGCTGCTGATCCGATGGGTGGCGGAGGTGGCACGGGGGAGGGCTTCGTTGAGGCCGGGATGGGACTGCCCGTCTGCAACAGAGATGGGAGACCCTGAGGGGTTGGGGTCCCCCTGGCTGGGGCCCTTCGCACCCCAGCTCTGGAAGCCCTACCGGGCACCTTGCAAGGGCCCGGCTCCCCCACCCTCGCCTCTGAGAGGCCTTTGGCCTCTACATCCCTGAGCCCTGAAAGGGGTTTCCTTGGAGGAGTCTTCTTAGCTCTCCTGGGGGACGCCAGGGGCTTGCTGCCTTCCGTGACCCTCTCTTTGTCCCCGCTGGGTGACCAGGATTTTTATTTTTTTTAAAGTCACACACTGGTAAAAAACTCCACCTGGCTCCTCATACCTACTATAAAAGCCAGATCCCAACCACCACCTACAAGGGCCTGCGAGGTCAGACCTCTGCAGGTCTCTCTAGCCTCACTTCCCTCTCCTCACCCCTCACTCCACCGGAATGGCTCCTGAAATCTCAAGCCCAATTCACTCTTTCTGGCCAGGGGCCTTTGCATTGGCTGTTCCCTTGGCCCTGAAGAGAGTCCTTTCTTAGCCACCTGCTAAAGTGAGCTCCTATGATTTTCTCTCTCATCTCCTATTTCACGTCTGTCTTAGCACTCTCTGAAACTGCCTGGTTCCTTCTCTGGATGACTGCATGCCTGTGTTCCCTGCTAGCATATAAGTACCTCCCAAGGGCAGGGACCTTTTCAGCCTCATTCATTGTAGCATCCAACAGATGCTAAACAATAATGGCCAGAAGCCTTCTAGCCTGAACTGCAGGGGTCCCCTCCCTGCCTTCCAGAACCCCTTCCAGGTCTACATCCTAGAATCAAATCCTCTCTGGGACCCCTCACACAGATAGAGCCAACTCTCCATTATCCGCCTGTGGAGCCAAGGCCTAGAGTGACCACAGGGATCTTGGTCTGCGCCTCCTCTGCCCACTACCCCCATCTGACAAGGCAAGCCTACCAATCGGGGCTCCCGCCAGCAGCCTGGGCCAAGGTTAACACGCTGGGGGAACTTGCACCCTGTCCAGAGCCCAACAGATGCAATTGCTGGATTAGCATCAATCTGAAGAAGGGCCAGAAAGAGGACTGGTGCCAGGGCTCATTCCTTTTCCAATCTCCCTTCATCAAATTTGCTCAGGACAAAGAAGGTTGACTGTCAGGAGACCAAGTGAAATACGGGCAGGAACGGGTAGAGGGCTCAGAAAGTTGTGACCACTGACTGGGGTCTTTGTGCTGAGCCTGAGAGAAGGGCTGTCCCTGGGTGTGGTCTCGGGAAGGTGAGGTTGCTGATGGAGCTTCAGAAATTCACTGTTCAGAGCAGCTTATCGTCCTTGGTGCTAGGCATATTTGGGGCCAAGTATTCCTGGAAGGGGCTGCCCTGTGCATTGTAGGATGTTGAACAGCATCCCTGGTCTCTGTCCACTGGATGTTGGTAACCCCTACCCCAACCCCTGCAGTTATATCAACCAAAAATGACTCCAGACATGACTAAAGTGTCACCTGGGGGCAGAATCGCTCCTTGTTTAAGAACCCTTGGAGTAGACAGGCGTGGAGCACAGCGGGCCGGGGGGATGCTTGGATGCAAGGGCCGGTGTCGGGGTGGAAGGATGGGGTGGGTGGGTGTCGGAGACGGTGTGATGGTTGGGAAAGCCAGACCTGAACAAGCCCATGAGCATCCAGACGACAAGCATCAGAGGTATGAGTTTCCCAGGGAGGGACAACCAGTTCACTAGCAACAGGCCCCAGCACAGCCACACGTCTCAGGGTCCGGGCATCCTGCTTCTGAGATTCTGAGACCTCAAGCTCCTGAGATTCGGGACGTCCCAGATTTGACGATTCTGCGGTTGCCGTTGTCTAAGAATGCCACGAGCCAGGGGGCTGCGCTGGCCTCTTTGAGCAGCACCAGTGAGGCTCCTATTTTTAGTGGCAATGACTTTGAAGGATGCAGGCCAAGCGAGCCCCATATCCGAGACACCTGGGGGCCAGGAGCTCACCCAGCCAGTAGGGATCCGGAAGTCCCTGTGGGTCAGACGAGGCGCCAGGGCAGCTGCCATGCCAAGGGGCCCTCAAGGACTCCCATTCTTCTGGGATCCCCAACAGGTTTGAAAATGAGAGAGGGAATACAAGAAGAGTGTCCATGAGCAGCTTAAACCCCAAGCCAGGCAGCATGGCAGAAGAGCCAAGAATCTAGGCGTTGGAGTCAGACAGGTCCTAGTGTAAGGCCCCGGCGGTGACCAGAAGAGCATGCCTTTCCCATTCCAAGCCTCAGTTTCCTCCTCTGTACAGTGGGAACAGCCACCAACCCAGTTTCACATGGCAGGGGACTGGTGCCAAGGAGGTCCCAGTAAATGTTCCATCCACAGAGGCAGCGGTAGTGGGGAAGGAAGGAGGTAAGCGTGCCTGGGGGGTCAGAGACGTCCCAGGTTGGAAGCTGGAGCCTCAGGCCCCTGCTCACTCCATGCTCTGATTTCCTCTCCAGCCTGAGGCTCCACAAGGGCAGATGCGTTGTTGATCCCCTGGCCCCCTGGTCCCAATACCAGCACACATCAAACTCTTCATCAGTCCATGGGAACCATCTTAGCTCCGGGGAGGCCAATCAGAGAAGCCAGACCTTGGTGGGTGGCTGCAGGGTAGTTGTGGGGCCAATAGCCATACTAGAGGACAGAGGAGGCAGTGTCCAGGTGGAGAAGTTTGAAGGTAGCCATTCCAGGGGTGCCCAAGGCCTGGGTGGGTCTGAGGGAGGGCCCAAGCTTCGGAGTAGAACAGCAGCCCCAGTAACTGTTCCTATTTATAGACATCACAAGACTCCTAGGGCAGGTGCCCATGCCAGGGAAGGGGGGTGAAGTAGGCTGAGAGGGCAGCAGGGGATGGGGGGGGGGCAATCATGTCTGAAGCCCAGGTCCTCTTCCAACTTCCAGGCCCAGACCCACTTCAAGCCATCCCCACCTCATGCCCCCATTTGTTCAGAGACACCAGAGACACCAACAGATGCAATTGCTGGATTAGCATCAATCTGAAGAAGGGCCAGAAAGAGGACTGGTGCCAGGGCTCAAGAGCGAGCCTTGCCATCCTCAGCAGCCACATTCCCCTCCTCCTCAGGCACCTGCACTGGACCCAGATTGATTCTCTGGGGGCACTAAGGACACACCCACCTACTTACCTGGGGCTTTTGCCAGGTAGAGAAAAAGCACCCAATACCTCAGAACCAGAACCAGAACCAGAAAAGGCCCTGGGACCTCAAAGCCTGTTCCCCAGGGCTCCCACAGCCCAGGTCCTGGGCCCGCTCTACAGGCAGGTTAGAGGGGCACTGTGGCCTGGGACTGGGTCCTGCCTCTTTTAGCCTTGGTTACTAAGGTTTGGAAAAGAGGATTACTAAGGTTCCCTTAGCTCTGATACCCTGCAGGTCTTACCCTGCCACTCCCCTGCGTAACACCTTTAGGTGTCACCCGTCATCTCCATGCCATTGCACATATGGGGCCTGCTGCCTAATTCACTGGTGCTCACCCTCACCTCCTGGGTGCCTCCCCACTTCACCCCACCCCTAAGCTGGGCCAGACTGGGCTCCCCCATTGCAGTTCCAGCAACTGTGTCATAACACCGGGTGGTTGGTCTGTCTCCCTAATCCCAGATGGCAAGGTCCATGAGAGTGGGGATGCTGTGTGTACTTGGTCACTGGCCAAGTCCCAGTGCCCAGCCCGAGAAGGTGCTCTGGAAATATCTAAGCATCGTGAGTGTTGCTAAGGATCAGTGGGGGCAGTCAAGGATGGCTTGATAGAGCATCGTCTTAAGGATGAGAGGTGTCAAGCCAGGTTACTGACTAGCTTTATGACCTTGGGCAACCTCAACCATCAGAGTCTGTTTCCACATCTCTAACCTGGGATAGTAATAACAAAGACTACCCTACAGAGACCTTTTTAGAATGACACAAGATGATCGCTTAAAGGGGTTAGCAAGTAGGAAAGCCCCAGCTGAGTGCTTGCAGATTCCTGGAAACCAAGGCCTTCGGGAATCTTCAGGGAATGGGGATGTGTCTGGTGCCTTAGCCTGTGCTGCCCCACCACTCTCCAGCCATAGGCTGGGCTCGTCCTTCCCACAGGGCCTTTGCATCAGCCACCCTCTCTACCTGGCATCACCTGGCTCCACTCAAATCCCACCCCCTCAGAAAGGCTTTCCCAGGCCCCCTGGTACAGGCCTGGCCCTCATTGAATGCCTTCCCAGCATCTGTCACTACCTGCCTGTGTGTATGTAGTTGCTTGTTGCCTATCTCCCCTAGTAGACTGTCAGGCCCCTGAGGGCAGAGACTTGTGCCTCTTGGTTTATGGCTGTATTCCTAGCCTAGCACAGAGACTGGCACATGGTAGGTGCTGAGTATAATGAATCACTGACGAGGTGGGAACAGTCCCCTTTTTGCTGGGTAAACCTAGACACAATGTGGTGGATGGCATCCCTGACTATGCAATCTCTCCCCAGCCAGTAGAGGGCACAAGCTGTTTTGGCTCATGGCTCAGGGGCAGGACTCACCAAGACAGCGCAGGAGGAGAGAGCCAGGATCGACAACTGAGGCAGGGTAACCCTGGGGAACCAGTGGGCTCAGGAAGGGCGCTTAGGATTCTAAGCTGGGCACCTGGACCCAGCCAGTGTGCTCAGAGGAGGAAGCCAGACAGATCTGAGTTCAAGTCCCAGCTCCTTGGTCAGGCAACTGGCCCACAGAACATCTGTTTTAATAACTGTACATGCGAAACTAAGCAGAGCGCCAGAGAAGGCTCTGGACCCAAAAGAATCTGAATTCCAATTCAGCCCCAGCTGGGCAGGGTGACCCGGCCCTCTCTGAGCCTTGGGAACCGAGCTGGACGCTCCATCATCAAACACAGGGCCCACTCTCTTACCAGAGATGCCACCTCTGCCATCCAGAACGTCTCGGGGGCCCTCCTTGGTGATGGGCAGGTAATGGGTGGACCGGAAGATGCCACCGTCCCCTTCCGCTGCCTCGGCCCCACCCTCAATGTCCTCTCTCGGTGCTGGGCCGGGCAGTCTCTCGGGGCCTCGAGGACGGTCTGGGGCAGCCTGGCCGCCCACCAGGGGTCCATCCATGGATGCTCTCTGCTTGGCTCCACTCGGTTGCTGGGCTGGCTCAGCAAGGCATTGTCGATCTGGGGGGCAGAGAGACGATGCTTAGGGGTGGTAGGAGGAGGACTCTGCCTTCCTTGAAGCCCCAGTCCTCACTCGAGAAGCCTAGCGCTTCAGCTTACCTCCCAGCCCGGGTGAACTAAATAAATGGTCACTTCTCGGCCTTTTGGCTAAGATCAAGTGTAATAAATTGCGCGGAGTCCCTACCCACCGACAGCGTACAGAGAACACCTCTCTCGACACAGATCCGGTGCTGCCTCAGTTTACCCACCCTTACACGTGCCCACTCAGCCACCTTGTTTCATTCCAGCATTAATCCTGTCACTTCTCACAGAGGCCTCCCTTTTGCACTTTGCCCAGTTGTGCCCTCACTTCCATGCACACACATACCCTATGCCCGTGCCTTGGCATGCATGCAGGTCATCTCTCCACTCTGATCTTATACCGAGGAAGATCATTACCCCTGCACTTTTCCCACAGCCCAGTCCACCCTCCTCCGACCTCAGGGCTCTCCAGCATCAATACCTTCACCCTCCCAACAGTCTCAAGTGACCCCAGATCAACCCCCTTTGCTTTCCCCCAACATTACCCCTCATGCACACCCCATCCTGGGTTCCTCCCTCCTACCCTCCCAAGATCTCTCTAGTTTGCAGGCAACAGGGATGGATGGGGCTCCTGGTCCAGAAACGAGGACCCTAGGGAAGCCGTGGGGGTGGGGGCTGTTCTCTCCACCTATAAATACCTTCAAGGTAACGTCGGAAAGTGAAGGGCAGGAATGAGGCGCCCTCCCTGGGGAGAGGTTGGGGAGGCCGGTCAAGGCAACCGGGGCGGGGCCGGGGCTCCCGGCCTGGCTGCAGGCGCTGCCCGGGGGGCCTAGGGGCTCCCCAGGGGCCCGCCCGTGGACTGGCAGTCGTGGCGGGGGTCTCTGCCCAGGCCTGGAGGAAGCACCTGCAGGTGCCCACCGGGTGGGTGATGCCAGCGGGGACCCGGCAGCACCGCAACTTCCGAGCACTTTGGCGGCGCGGAGAAGGGGGCTCCAGCCTGGACGCCCCTCCGGGAGTGGCAGGGGTGGGAGTGGCGCCGCGCCAGCGCACCCCCCGGGGGACCGAGGTCCGGGAGCTGCGCCCTCCGCCCGTGCATCTCGGGGCAGGAGACCCCGCGGGACGCGCAGAGGTGGGGGGGGACACCTGCCCCGAGACCCCCACTCCTCCCCCCACCTGCGTGGCCCCGCCCCCGGCCAGGCCCCGCCCCTGAAGGCCCCGCCCCGCCCCCCGCCTCAGGGGGTCCCGCCCGGCCAGGCCGGGCCGGGCCTCCCACTCCCCGCGCCGGCTCCGCCCCGCCCGCGGGCTCCCCGGGCCGGACCGGGCCTCACCCGGGAGGCGGCGCCGCCGGCCGGGTGCCGGGCTCGGAGCTCCCCTCTTTGGCGCGGCCGTCGCTGCCGCTATCGGCGCCGGTGCCGCGGCCTCCGCAGCCACCGCTGCCTCCACCGCTCGGGGGACATTGTCCCTTTAAATCGCTCCCCCCCGCCGCCCCGCCCCCCCGGCGCGCCGCCGTGACCTCAGCGCGACAGCCCCGCCGCGCCGCCATGATGGGGAGGTCCGGGGCGCCCCCTCCCCCTGGCGACCCCCCCTCCAGCGCCCCCGGGAAGGGGAGCGGTCAGCGCGCGCGCGCCATGTTGGGAGTGGCCAGGCAGGTCCCGGGGCCGGGAGTCCTGGGCGAGGCTCATTACCATGACAACGCTGTCCCCTGCCCTCAGCGGCTCTTCATCACCCCACTGGCTCTTCCAATGCTCTGCTCGCCAATAGCACCAGGGGAGTGGGGAGGGGGCAGAGAAGTTCCCCTCCGGGTCACTTCTACGGTAGATCTTGGAGGATTCCACCCAGCTAATCCTTAGGCTTCCAATCACAAGCTCACTCCCTCCTTTCTCATTCATTATCTGCTAGATTTCCAAGCCTCCATGCCCCCAGAGCCTGCCCTAGGTTCCCACTGCTAAGACCCCCCTTCTCCACTCCACCTCCAGGATTGCAGCCTCTAGGTCTACCCTGTCATACACGCAAAAATAGGCCTGTTGCCTTCCCCCAGCCACCCAACCACGTGTCTGACAACCCATTCATTTCCCACCCATTCATCCACACACCCAATTGATCAGACACATCATCTACCCACCCAGTCAACAAACCACCTCTCCATCCACCTCTCCAACATCTACCCACCCATCCACCCAAATACCCACTCAAACCAAACCACCCATCCACCTCCATCTACTTACTCATCCACCTATCACATAACTAACGTGATCCCATTAGCCAACTAGCCACCTCCCAAACCGCCCCCATCCGAACATCCACTCAACTCACCCATCCATGTCTCATCTACCACCTAAGTAAAAGCCTACTCATCCATACAACTCCATTCTTCCTTACACAGAACCTTTACCCAACTACCCAATTACCCATCTATCCATCAATTGCATATTTACTGTCTGTCTCCTCCACTAGAGTGTGAGTTCCCTGAGGACAGGAGTCCTATCTGTCTAATTCATTACTGTTTCCCTACTGCCCAGCTCAAGAGTCTCAGGACACTTGAACAAATGCTCATACAATGTGGTACATACTCAAAATCCAAATATTTATTTCCTAGTACGATACGGGCCTTTTTTAGGCAGACATACCCATCCCAGCCAACCAACTACTTAACTACTCACCTACTAGTGCACAGACATCTACCAAATGCTAACCTATTCATTTGCCTCTCACCCATGCTACCCCTCACCCATAATTCAAATGTTCACTCAGTTATCCAACCAACACCCACAGACCTCAACTATCTCCACATCTACCCGCCCATTCCTTTATCTGCTTCCTAGACCCATGCTCTCCCTGCCATGAGGGAGCTAGTATGGGATTAGGGGCCCTAGAAGATGCTCTCATCCAGGGTTTGGGGGTTGGTGGAGGTGGGATCTGGGCTTCATTGAGAAGTAGGTGTTTGGATGAATACCTTTTTTTGAATGCTTTAAGCTACAGATCTTGCCCTGACTGGTTTGGCTCAGTGGATAGAGCATCAGCCTGCAGACTGAAAGGTGCCAGGTTTGATTCCAGTCAAGGGCATGTGCCTTGATTATAGGCACATCCTCAGCGGGTGGTGTGCAGGAGGCAGCTCATTGATGTTTCTCTCTCATCGATGTTTCTAACTCTCTATCCCTCTTCCTTCCTCTCTAAAAAAACAAAACAAAATCAATAAAATATATTTTTAAAAAAACCACTACAGGTATTTTTTTTTTTTTTCTGTGTAAGGACCTTTAAATCCAATTTACAGATGAGGACAATGAGGCTGTGAGAGAGTGAAGGCCTGAAGTCACACAACTAGTGAAAAGCTCTTTACTGGTTGGGCCAGGCTCTCTCAGTCTGGGCACGCCCCTATCCCTGGGTGAGCCCTCCAATTAGGGGAGAATTGGGGAGAGCTGAATTGGGGAAGGTGCTTTCTGAGTGGCAACACTTAGGGACAAAGAAACCATCAATTTTACTGAAATCAAGATTTTACTGGGCAACCTCACAGCGCCAGGCTAGTTGCCATCAACAGCTCCACTCCACACTGTAGGCCATGTAGGGCCGAGGCAGGGCCCCTCCAACAGGTATCTTTTTGCTCCCAGACCACGTGGGGTGGTGGAGTGGACAGCTCAGGTGGTGTCTCCATTCACACAGCGTGCTTTGAGAGGCAGGGGCTGGCTCCTGGACCCTATCGTCGTAGTATGAAGATGCTGCAGGCTCTGGACGGCATCCCTCAGCGGGGCTAGAGAACTCTCCATTTCAGACAGGCGGCGCTCCTGGAGGGCCACGGCAGTGGGGTCAGAGCCAGGGGAAAGTTTCACCCCAGCCCTTGCTTCCTCACCGCCAGACCTGCCCCAGGGTGCACACAGTGGCTCTCACCAGATTTTTCAGCTTGTGGGCCTCACTGCTTGGTGGGCCGCACTCTGGATCCAAATGCGAGGTCCTGTGGAAATCAGGGGCCAGGGAGCAGGGAAGCTCAGAGGTTGGGGAACTCCCCTCCAGCCCCTGATTGGAGAGCTAGGGATTTGGGGCGGGGCTTAGAGTTGGAGGCGGGGCCTGCCCAGACCAGGGGGCGGGGCCTGCCCAGACCAGGGGGCGGGGCCTAGGTAACTTGAAGAGGCCAACCGAGCCTGGAACGCCTAGGATGGAAGGACCCACGAAACCTTTGGAGGCGGGACTTGGTCCTTCCTGGGTCGAGTGGTGACCGGGATAGGGGCGTGCCCAGACTGAGAGAGCCTGGCCCAACCAGTTTGAGAGGGCCTGATTGAGGGATGGGGCTTCAATGATGGATGAGACGATCAGCCAGCGACTTGGGGGGAAAGGGGGCGGGCTCCCCTAGGGCAGAGCTGACCAAGAGGTGGGTCTTGGGTGTGTTGGGGCGGGCAGAGCTGACCTAGGGGGGCGTGACCGTGCCTGGCGAATTTGGGACTGATTGAAGGGCAGAACCTGAGTGACAGTCAGTGGGTTCTGGGCGATCTGATTACGTCTAACGGATCCCATGGAGGAAGGAGCTGGTGGGAAGGCAGGTCTCACCTTCCCCGAAGCCTGGAGTCCAGGCCTTCCAGCTGGCTGCGAAGCTGCTGCTGCTGCTCCGTCAAGGCCCGCAGGTGGGTGCGCAGGGACTCCACGAGGCCCGACAGCACCTTCTGCTCCTCGCGCAGGGTGGCCACCTCGCCCTGCAGTTCCGTCAGCTGTAGGGGGTGGGGGTGGGGGGGAGAGCCTCTGTCACCTGACCCGCCGACCCACACCTTCTTCTCCTGGAAGACCCTGACTTTCCTGTCCCTTGTGCTCTGCCTCCTCACGGCCCAGCCTCTTGGGGAAGGTGACCAGACGTCCTGCTTTTGGCGGGACAGTCCCAATTTTTAACAATGTGTCCCACGGCGGGACGCGGGACAGATTGTTAAAAATAGGGACTGTCGCCAAAACCAGTTTGGCTCAGTGGATAGAGAGTTGGTCTGTGGATTGAGGGGTGAAGGGCATGTCAATTCTGGTCAAGGGCATGTGCATTGGTTGCAGGCATATCTCCGGTGGGGGATGTGTAGGAGGCAACTGGTGGATGTTTCTCTCTCATCGATGTTTCTAGCTTTCTATCCCTCTCCCTTCCTCTGTAAAAAAAATCAATAAAATATAAAAAGAAATAAAAAGAAATAAAAAGAAAAACTATTTTAAAAATCGGGACTGTCCCGCCAAAAGCGGGACGTCTGGTCCCCTTACTTGGGGAACATCATCGGCTTGTAGAGGAGGAAATTGAGGTTCAGAGAGGGCTGGGCTAGGCTCGGAGTAACCCAGCATAGGGCGCTCCTATTTGAACCCAGACCTGCCTGGCCTCCAGTCTCGCCTCTCCCCGCCGGGCGTGCCCTCAGGCCGGCCTCACTCACCTTGCCCATGGGTCGGTGCGGGCTTAGCGCCTGGTCTGTGCCTCGAGGTTGATCCAGCTGGCGCTGCCAGGGCACGGACGGCTTCCGAGGCAGCGAGGCCGAGGCCCCGGTCCAGGGCCGGCCGCGGGGCTGGGGGCCGGAGCGCAGGGAGCCCTTGGGTCGAGGCCTAGGTCCCGCTGCGGAAGGGCAGCGGCGAGCTGGGCGGCCGGCCGGGACGCTCTGCGTGCGCTGTACCGGCCGGGGCAGCCGTCGGGGCCGCTCCTCCTCTGGCCGCTGCCGGGCCCAACTTCCCGAGCCATGGACGCTGCGCAGAGACTGGCTCTTGGATATGAGAGGGGTGTGCTTGGGGAGGTCCCGAGGGGGCAGGAAGCCGGGCTTCTCCCCTGCGGAAAAACTGGGGGTGGAATGCAGGAGCTCAGACCCTTGATTGGCCCGTGAGCTGATCCCACCCCTAGTTTTTTTTTTTTTTTTTTCTAATTTCTTTATTGATTAAGGTATCACATATTTGTCCTCATCCTCCCATTCCCATCCCAAACTCCTCCCCACGCATGCCTCGACCCCCCTGTTGTTCGTGACCACTGTAAGGCTCATATACATGCATACAAGTCCTTTGGTTGATCTCTCTCCCTTATCCCCACCCTCCCCTACCTTCCCTCTGAGGTCTGACAGTCTGATCCATCCCTAGTTTTGACTGCAAATGACCAGACCCAGGATCTTTTTACTTCCATGTGACCTGATGAGGTCACATTTTGACCTCTGGCTCTGCCCTGGACTCTGACACAGTGTGACCTTTCTCTGTAGCATCAATTCCAACCTTGGGCTCAACCTCCGCTCACAAGGGTATCCTCTTCCTTCCTAGCTGATCCCCTCTGACCCCCAACCTCTGACCTTAAACTGTCCCTGTCTGCCTCCTGAAAGACCATGGTTTCTGACCTCTGACCTCAAACATGACTCTGCCCATATCTTTGACCCATCTGACCTTGACCTCTGCTTATAATATGAACCTGAACCTTACCTTTGAGGATACATCTTAACATTTGACCACATTCTGACCCCTGATTTAACCCCATCACTAGCCTCTCACCCAAACGTGAACACGCTGAACATGATGTCACTTTCTCTCTCGGATGCCACATGTGACCTGTCCCTGACCTCTGCAATGACCAGTTCCCACTTTACACTGTGAGCCTCTCTCTGACCTCCTGGACGAAGCCATCTACAGCCTCTGACCTCCATCCAACACTTTCTGACACTGACCCCAATGTGACTCCATCTCTGACTCCTGACATAATCCTGTCTTCACCACTGATTCCAATCTGACCCTGTGCATGCCTTTGGCCCCATCAGAGCTGGACCAGACAGCAGGAAGGCAGGTTACCTGGAATAGACCTGGGCTGGGGGTGGTGGTGGAAGACGCATCGGCACAGACACAGGTACAGGGCGGCCTTCCTCAATGGCTTGCAGGATGGTGGGCAGGGGCTCCAGGCTGTCGCGGGTTGCCTGGTAAGGCATGTAGGGAGGATGCTGAGAAGCTCTCGGGGCCAGAAGCTCCCAGCCCTCTTGCTTCCCTACCCCATGTTCTGGTCTCTAGGCTCAGGACACACCTGGTCGAGTTCAGCAAAGATGGTACAGAGCTGGGCATGCAGGACTGCCAGCTGGAGGGCTAGGTCACTGCTGCCCTGGTAACCACTGGGTGCTGCATCCACATCCACCATGGCCACTTGATCCAGGAAGCGTTGCATGGCAGGTCCATGATTCTCCAGGAAGCTATTCATAAAGCCCATGTAGGCTTCCTTCTCACCAAACCTGGGTTGGAGTCCAACTGGGTAGGTCAGGTCAGGCATCTGCCACCCCCATGGCCAAACCATACTCTCTCCCTGCCCTCCCCAGCCTTCCAGCACCTACGGGGCTCGGTTGGCAAGGTTCTGGATGACCTTGGCAATCAATGTGAGAGTGCGGGCCGGAGTAGGTGCTGGGTGCTGTGGTGCCAGGCCAAAGAGGCTGGGTGCCAAGATGGCGGGACACAGGAGCCGCAGGAAGAGAGAAGCACACACCAGCCGGGGGCCCAATGCCTCGGAGCCTCGTGCCTTGCATGCTTCTCGCCAGGCTGAGAACACGGTGCGCAGCTCTGCTGGAAACCAGCTGGGACAGAATAGGCAATGGTCAAAGGGGGCGTATATGGGCATAAAGTTCACGGATGACTGAACTCCTAAGGTCAGGGATTAGGAGTCACCTATGTTCTGAGTTCCAAGATTACAGACATCAGGGATAATGATGCTGGGGGGTGGGGGTGGAAAGGGAGGGGTCAGGATTTATGGTAATGTTGTGGTGAGCACTGGAGTCAGTAATGTTGGAATTGGGGGTACAATTATAACATAACTGTTTTCCTGTAAGGGACAGCTATAACATAACTGTTTTCCTGTAGCCAGATCTAGCCAGACAGGGTACATGATATGAATAGAAGGGGCACACGGGGTCACCTAGGTTCAGAAATCATGATGTTGATGTCTCACGTGACATGGGATTAAGCACACAGCTTAACCTAGAGTCAGAGAGCAACAAATTGGAATCCCAGGTTTCCTGTGATCATTTGCATAGGATTTGAGGCCTCACTTAAGGCCAGGGGTCATGGGATTGAGGGAAGGACAGCACCTGAAATCAGAGGTCATAGGACTGAGATCCTATATTAACTGGGGTCAGGTGGCATGGGATTATGGTATGGGGTCAAGGAATTGTGTCCCACTTATGTGACATTAAGGTGGCAAAATATTGGGGATGAGTTCCCATCAGAGCTAGCAAATAAAACTACAAGATAAGAGTTAAACTTGACTTTCAAGTAAGAAATAATTTAAAAATATAACTAGGTCTCAAATATTGCATCACATTTAGCTGGGCATCCTGTATTTTATCTGGCAGCCAGCACAGAGGCTGGGAGGCAGGGGCGGTGGGCTCAGGCGCTGGGACCCTGGTTCTTACTCATAGGAGTGGATGATGTCCTCGAAGACCTCCTCACAGCTGCTCTGCAGTCTGGCTTGGTGCTGGGGCAGCTCTGAGGCTGGGCACTTGCTGGGGTCCACCTCACAGTCCTCAGTGGAGGCACAGATTCGCCGCAAGACCTGCCCTGCAGCCCAGCACAGCCAGGCAGGGGCCAGAGCCATAACCACCAGGACCCACCAACCCAACCTCCGACTCTTCTCCATTTACCCTGGAGGCACCTAACCTCTTGGGGAGTCCCCATTTCCCTCCAGGATCCCAACAACTCCCAGGCGTCACCCACTTCTAGAACCCAGATTACCCAGGGTCTCCCAGGTCCCCTCTGGGGTCTCCTAGTCCTCCCAGCAGGCTTCCGCACCCCCACACAGGGCTCACCCAGCGTCTCTTGGAGGTAGTCCTGTGCCACCAGCTTCATGTACTCATCGATGGCCTTAGTGGCCAATGTGTTTTCCCGGAACAGCAGCGCCTCGCGGCCTCCACTGCGTGCCAGCTCCGCGGTTCCCAGGTCTGTCACCAATGCCTGGGCACAGCGGGGGGTCATGAAGCTTGGGTGTAGACTGAGCCAATGGGAATCCCTGCTCTTGGTGAGTCCCTCTCCCCCGGGCACAGGTCGCGCTCCTAAAAGCTACAGCTCAGGCCTGGCCCTCCCGGCTGGGGCACCTAACAGCCTGGGAACCTCCACCCCTCAGCAGAAATGTAAGCCTTTCCACACAGAGGCTCAGCTCAGGCCCCCTCTTCGCAGCTCCAGTCTAGGCCCCGCCCCTCCAGGTGCCCCATCCTTCTATGCCCCGCCCCTCCAGGCACCCCACCCTTTTATGCCCCGCCCCTCCAGGTATCCCACCCGTCTTTGCCCCGCCCTCCAGGTGCCCTACCCTTCTAGGCCCCGCCCCTCCAGGCGCCCTACCCTTCTATACCCGCCCTCCAGGTACCCCAACCTTCTATGCCCCGCCCCTCCAGGTGCCCCATCCTCCCAGGCCCCGCCCCTCCAGGTACCCCACCCTTCTAGACCCTGCCCCTCCAGGTGCCCCACCCTTCGTAGCTGAAGCTTAGGCCCCGCCCCTCCCTCCAGGTGCCCGCCCCTCGCAGGTGCCACTGGGTCCGGCCACCCAGGTCCGCCAGGTCGCCTTGACGTACCTGCGCCCGGCCGGTGGCCTGCAGCACGCGCACCATAGCAGCCGCCAGCTCCTCCTTGGCCTGCGCCGACAGCTGCGGCTCCAGGGCCCCGCACAGGCACGCGTAGTGGAAGGTGAGGAACTCCGCCAGCTCCTTGTAGCGCTCCGAGGGCAGCACGCGCAGGCGCCGCGCCCGGATGCGCGCCCGCAGCGCCGCGCCGGCGGGGGCCTCGAGAAGCGGGAACCAGCGCTCCAGGCCGGCGGCGGGCGCGCGGGGGGCGCCCAGCTCCTCCAGCGCCAACGACGCGCGGCCCAGTGGGGCGCCCCCGGGGCCGGCTCCCCGCAGCCGCAGCGACAGGCGGCGCGCCGGCGGCAGGGCCTCGAAGTGGAAGCGCTCCGCCCAAAAGAGCGGGCCCGGCCCGGCCCGCTCCGCCGTGCGCGCCAGCAGCGCGCCGTCCAGCCACAGCTCCACGCGCGCTCCTGGCGCCCCCGCCGCCGCCGCCCGGGGCAGCCCCTTGGCTTCGTGCACCCACACGCTCAGCCACGTCTCCTCGCGTTCCGCGTTGTCCTGCAGACCGGAGCGGTGGGAGGAGTGGGCGTTTGACGGTGGGCACCAGAGGTGTCCCTCGGGGCCCATGTCCCCAGGGAAACACCCCTGAGTCCCTGGGAAGAGAGTGGGGCCTCCACTGCGTGCCAGGGATCCCAGGGTGACCGTGCGGAAGCCCTTTAGCTGTGCTGAGATCTCCCGGGAAAATCGGGGATGCTGCGTACGGAGGAGCAGCTGCGGTGGAAAGATTTGGCGGGCGGCCACCTCGTTGGTGGGACTTTGGGTGCAAATTGCGAAAGAAGGGACTGGGCCCTTGTGCAAGGGCCAGGTACGAGATGAGGAGGGTCTGGGAGTGGTTGCACAGGTGTGGGCGGGCACCAGCGTGTAAGGGGTGGGGCCTTGACTTCCTCGAGTGCCCACCTGGCTGGGCTGGAAGTGGCGACGAAGGTCCTCGATCCAGCGGTCTCTCTCTGCGGCCGAGCGACACGAGAAGCAGCGGCTCCCGCCTGCCCAAGTTACCTGTGGGGGAAGGGCATTCCAGGTCGCGGTGGAGACCGAGCCTGAAGCCAAAGGATCCGGAGGACGCGAAGAGCTGCCCGTATGTACCTGGAAGCAGTGGGGCTCATCCAAGAGGCTGGGGTGCAGTGGCCAAACCCGCACATTCCGCTGGGCACCCAGGTCCAGTTCGGAGAGTGTGGCCAGCGATTCCCTAGAGCCCAGAGCACTGGGGGGCCTGGAGAGGGTGGTGGTGGTATGAGGAGGGGAAGGGGTGTCATTTTTATCTTCTCCCCTCATCCATTAAGGGTGGAGGGAGGCCAGGATGAACTTGAATCTAAATTGGACTTGAAAGTCCATCACTTTTAGGGTCAACCCAACTTCCCCGGTGGCCTGAATGACCTTGTATAGGATAGCCCTTGTCACCATAGCCCTCATTCCCCTTCACTTAATCCCCCACCGTCTGAAGTCCAGGCACACTGGACTTTGTTTTTGTGTCTTCATCCGACCTCCTGGCCTTTTCACGTGCTGTTCCCTCTGTCTGGAATGCTGTCCCTGCCCGTCTTGGCCTAGTTCATTCCCACCCATTATTCAGATACCAGCTCCGTTTCCTTCCCTGACACTCTCGGACCAGGATTTTGATTTAGTTCCTGTTTTGGAGTTGCTGTGTCAGACTCTGCTCCCACTCTTCCATCAGGGAATGGCTCCCTGCTAGGACCTTTCCATGGCCCCCGTATGGCTCAGCACAGGGCAGGACACAGGGGGTATGGGGTGAAAGTCATAATGAAAGGCAGGGGGACGGGGAGGAGAGAATGTTGAATCCCAGGGACTCTTACCCATCCCGAGAGGCATTGGCTCCCAACTCTGACCTGGCCTTTTTCTTTTCTTTCAGCCTCTTGAGCAACCCCTATGGAGGAGAGAGAGGTGTGTCAGCTGAGCAACTCCTTTTTCCCTCCGGGTGTCCTGGAGGATCAGCTATTCTTGGAGGGCCACAAACTCAGGCTGTGTTAGCAAGAATAGCAAAGGCCACCAATAACTCCAATTTTTTAAAGCCCCAAGTGTATGCTTTCCTGCATTCTCTGTTGATGTCTCACAAAGAGCCCAGAAAGGGAGGTTTTCCCATTGGCTCTATTGGACAGAGACACCGAGGCCCACAGAGGTTCAGTGATCTGCCCCAAATCACCCAGTAAGAGTCCCCTTTCACCTCTGAGGGTCTGGGAGTATTTGCTCTCCCCACCTCCCCATCCCCCAACGGATGCCTCACCCGGACGTTGTGGACCTGGTTGGGGCCAGCAGCCTCTGGCTCAGTCTTCCCAGGCACTCGGTCTGTGGTGTTCAGGGATGGAAGGTTGGGAGATGGGATCATCTTGGATTCTGACCCACCCTGACACGGTCCCATAATGCCCCAGCCCTCCTCACCTCTCACACTTACGTACCTGCATCCCTGAGGTTCCCCAGGGCCACCTGGATGCTGCTCTCAGAGCTGGCGCTCCCCATCCTGGACTGGCGAGGCCCCTGCTCCTCCGTAGGAGTGAGTAGTCAGAAAGGGAAGGCAGGCGGGTCGAGGGAGAGGCAGACACTTTCCATGGTCCCATTCCTTTCCCTTCCTCCCTTCCCCTGACCCATAGGCCCTCTCTCACCTCTTCCTCACCCCCGAGCAGCACCAGCCTCCCGTCCAGCAGAGTGAAGGCTTCGATGTTCCAGACAGGCACATCGGGTGGGGGGGCCTCAGGGATCTGTGGGGTTGGGGGCTCCGGCTCTGGCTCCGGCTCTGGATGGAGGAAGAGGTGCTAGGGAAGTGGGACATCTTCCTGAACCTCAGACCACCCTTTCCATTCACCAAAGCTCAACGGGGCTCCCTCCTAATTGCCGCCTCCCCTCCTCACTCTCGCAAGGCAGCCATGTCGGGTAGTTGTTGAGCAAAACCTTCTGGACATTGTCTCCATTAGCATTGGGTAGTGGACTCAGTGCACCTACTATGTGACCTGCACTGTGTTTACTGCTCCACATTGCCTGCTCTCATTTAATGCTAAGGTGACTAGACATCCCGCTTTTGGCGGGACAGTCCCGATTTTTAACAATTCGTCCTGCATCCCACGGCATTTTCAAAAAGTCCCGATTTTTGGAAAGAATCTTTTAAATCTTTTGGACATTTTAAAAACGCAGCAGGGAACCGGCAGCACTGAGCCCCCCTGAACCGGCAGCGCTGAGCCCCAGTTATGGGCCAGACCCTGGGGACCCAGGCTCCGGTGGGAGGAGATGGGGCCGTGAGGCGGAAAAACGGCAAAAAGCAGGGCCCCGGGAGTCGCGCGAAATGCGCGCGCAGAGGACTGAATGTTGACTCTGATGCTGGGTTACCCTAGCCGGAAGAAACAAGGCCTCCGGCGGCGCTGAGCCTCAGTCCGGACTGCTCCGAACCCCAGTTCTGGGCTAATCCCTGGGGACCCAGGCTCAGGCAGAGGTAGACGGGGCTGTGAGGTGGAGTCTGGGGAGAGCGGCGAAAGGCCGGGCCCCCGGGACTCGCACAAACTGCGCGCAGAGGACAGTCTGTTGACTCTGATGCTGGACTTCCCTAGCGGGAAGGAGAAAAAAAAAAGCTCTAGGCTGGGGGAACGCAGAGGGGAGCGGAAGCCCCTGCCGGACTCCAGCCAACCGGGCACCAGCAAGGAGGTGGGCCACGGGGCCCCTGGGGGCGTGGGTGCCCCTGAGCCTTTGATCACTGAGCTCGAGCAATGGAGCCAAGGCCGGGGCTGCTTCCTGGGCGGCGCCGTCCTGGCAACAGGCTGAAGCAGCGCAGGAGCCCGCGGAGAACAAAGGGGTGCCACAGGCCAACCTGCTGAGCTCCCAGGACAAGGAGGAAGAAACCAAAGAAGTTCTCAATGTGAAGAAATCAAGTGAGAGCAAAAAAATAGTAAAATTACTTAAGAAAGAATACAAAGAAGATCTTGAAAAATCAAAGACTAAGTCAGAACTCAACTCACCAGCCAACATTGCAACATAAATGCGTTTTAAAAAGAAAAAAGAAAAAAAAAAAAAAGGACAGAATGTTGGAACAGCGGCGGCCAGGCCTAGAGTGGCCAGGCACAAGGCAGTGGCAGCCAGGCCCGGAGCAGCAACGGCCAGGCCCCAGAACAACAGCAGCCAGAACCAGAGCATCAACAGCCAGCACTGGAGTAGCCAGACCTGGGGCAGTGGCAGCCAGGCATGAGGCGGAGGCGGCCAAGCCCAGGGTGGCCAGTCCAGGAACACCCAGACCCGGAGTAGCCGGGCACGGAGAAGCCGGGCCCAGAGCAGCCGGAGTGGGAGCAGCCAGACCCAGAACAGCAGTAGCCAAGCCCAGAGCATCCAGGTCGGGAGTGGCCAGGCTCGGAGCGGCCGGGCCCGGGGCAGCCAGGCCCAGAGCAGCCGGGTCGGGTGCGGCCAGACCAGGAGCAGCAGCTGCCAGGCTGGGAGCGGCCAGTGCCGGGGGAGCAGCCGGGGCTGGTGTGGCCAGGCCCAGAGCAGCGGCTGCCAGGCTGGGAGCGGCCAGGCCCGGGGGAGTAGGCGGGTCGGGTGCGGCCAGGCCCGGAGCAGCGGCTGCCAGGCTGGGAGCGGCCAGGCCCGGGGGAGCAGCTGGGTCGGGTGCGGCCAGGCCCGGAGCAGCGGCTGCCAGGCTGGGAGCGGCCAGGCCCGGGGGAGTAGGCGGGTCGGGTGCGGCCAGGCCCGGAGCAGCGGCTGCCAGGCTGGGAGCGGCCAGGCCCGGGGGAGCAGCTGGGTCGGGTGCGGCCAGGCCCGGAGCAGCGGCTGCCAGGCTGGGAGCGGCCAGGCCTGGAGCAGCAGCAGCCAAGTCCGGAGCAACTAGGTCGGGAGCGGCAGTGACCAGACCCGGAGCAGCTGGTTGTGGAATGAACCAGAGCAACAGAGGCCAGGCCCTGAGCAGCCAGGCCCAGAACAGCTCGCTTCTTGCCTGCCCCTGCCCCACGGCTGCTTCTCAGACATGGCTGGAAACTTTCGTGGGAACTTGAAGGTCTGCTGAATCAAGTGATGAAGGCTTAGATCTGGATGTGTTGAGTTAGTTTAGGACTGGGGTGTTGATCTGTGAGTGCCTTGGGTGGGGCCTGGATGAGGCTAGTTGACCTATTGGGAAATGTCTTTTGTGTGAAGTGTATCTTTGGGCATGTGGAGGTATTATTGATATGAGAAAATGCTAAGTAACTGATTTACTATCTGAAAAGGGATTTACTATTGGGGAAAGGGAGGGAAGAAGAGACTGAACATAAACTGCACCTATGGATGAGGACAATGGGGGATGGGGAGGGGGCAGAGGGTGGGGTGGGAACCTGGTGGAGGGAGGAAGAAATGAGGAACCTTTGTAATAATATGAACAATAAAGATTGATTTAAAAACAAAACAAAACAAAAAAAAACTTGCCATTGTAAAAAAACAAAACAAAACAAAAAAACGCAGCGGGATGCAGGACAAATTGTTAAAAATTGAGACGTCTGATAACCTTAATTTAATCCCCCAAAGCCATTAAAAGGGCTGTGATAAGCCCCATTTTACCAGGAAGGACACGGAAGCCCAGAGAGATTGGGTGACTTGCCCAGGTTCACGCAGCTTGTGCGTGATCGAGATGGACCTCAGACATAAAGCACTCTTCTCTTAACCAAGACAGTGGTTATATGAGCAAGAATCATAAAGGTCCAAGAAGTTAAACCACAGGACAGCAGCCTTGGTTCCTCACATAAATCACTAGTCTAAGGTGGACTACATTCAAAGTTTGAGAAGGGAATAGAAAAGGGCCACGGTAGGAGGCGGGAGTAGGGCAGCAGGCCAGGAAAGGGCTCCAGAGAGAGGAAGCTTGTGCCAGGACTTGAACAGCAGGTTGGATTTTTTTTTTAAATTCTTTTAAAAAAATATTTTTACTGATTTTTTACAGAGAAGAAGAGAGAGGGATAGAGAGTCAGAAACATCAATGAGAGAGAATCATTGATCAGCTGCCTCTTGCACACCCTCTACCGGGGATGTGCCCGCAACCAAGGTACATGCCCTTGACCAGAATCGAACCTGGGACCTTTCAGTCCCGGTTTCGGCAGCAGGTTGGATTTTGAAAGAGATGGAGGGGATGGTGGCAGGAACAGCTTGATCAAAGGCTGAGAGATGGCAGGGCCCAGGGACACAAAGGGAAGGGCAAAAACAATAATAATAAAATAAATATTTGGAGGGCTCAGAGGCTCTAGAAGGGAAGGTCCAGGAAGAGATTGGTTCAGGACCCTGGGTGCCAGTCAGAGGTTTTATCCTGGGGGCAGTGGGGAGCCACGGGCATCCTCGCATGCTCAAAGGTCAGGTCTGCTTGTTAGAGAGCTCTCTCCGATACCCTGGAAGGGGGTTGAAGGGTTGCCAAATGAGACTATGAATGGTGAGAAGTAAATGAGCTTCCAGGAATAGGAGAGCTGAACCAACTCTCCCAGATTACCCATCTGTCCTATCGTTTTACCCCGAGGGGAGGAAATAAGTCCCACTGTGAATGGACCACTTAAAATATGCTGGACGCCGGGCTAATGCTCCATGCTCTCCAGCTCCAAACCTCACGATCCCTTCTGGATCCCTCTGAGCAACACTGAGCCCTCTCTGTCATTTTCTTGTTTATACTCGTTACTATCTTTCATGCCCGCTGCGCAGTGAGTCTCATGGGGCAGCCAGTGACATCTCTTTTAGTCACCGCTGTCTTCCACAGTGCCTAAATCTGGGCCTGGCACACAGTCAATGCTCAACGGGCCTCTGTTTTAGTGGATGGATACATGAATGAAGGAAATAATATACCCTTCAAGGTAGGGATCATGGTTCCCATTTGATTGATGGGTAAGCTGAGGCCCAAGGAAGTGAAGAAACTAAAACATGGAAGCTGGAGGGCAGGAGAACAGGAGGAGGCTGAGAAGGATATCCAGGTAGGAGAGGATGAGAGTGGGCTAGTGGATATGACAAAGAGATCGGGCGTTATTTGGCATCTGAATAGTGCTATCATCAGTCTATTCCCTGGGTCTTGCCCAGGCTGGACCTCCTTTTGCCCACAGCTCCTTGGCCACACCCCACACCACCAGGCCCTGGGTAAGGGGGAAAGAGGGAAGAGGGCAGCTGCCGGGCCCCAGCCACTTCCTGTTGGGCTTTTGCACTCCCCACAACTTCCTGTGTCTGTATGGCTGATGCTTTGGAGGCAGACAAACCCCGAGCATCCGGTCTCCCAGCCCAGCCCCGGCTCTGAATGGTGGAGCCATGTACCTGAGGCTTCTGGCTCCGGCTCTGGCTCCAGCGGTGGGCTCTTATGCCTCCCCCAGAGGGACTTGGAGAGTCTGAGGTGGTTCTTGCGAGATTCCTTGGGGGGCGCGGAGACGACACGACGGAACAGCGAGCGACGGGCAGGTTGGCTGCTGACCATGGGTTCCTGGTGGCTCAGTGCCCTCCCCCAGCTGGTAAGGCGGCCCCAGTGGAACCCTCCAGATCCCTTCTCTCCCCCACCTCCTGTGTGCCAGCGATAGGAGGTTAGCGGGGTTTGGGCTGCCTGCTGGGTTTCGGAGGACTGGCTTCTTGACAGCGGGTCCATGGTGGGGATTCTCCTGGGGAACAAGAGGGTGACAGTTCTGTCTCGTATCTGCCCACATGCTGTCTTCATCTCGGCACCCTCCCCATTCTCAGCTCTGTCCCCAGAAAACCCCCTTGGAGGGCCACACGCACTCCCCCTCTTACCTTGATTTCCTGATCAGCCCCAGACGCAACAGCCGTCTGCACACTGCCTGGCTTCCTCCTGCTGAACGCTACTCCACGTGACCCGGCCTGTCCCACCCCACCCCACAGCCAGGTTGGGAGGGCACAGTGGGGGCAGGATGCGGGAGGAGAGGAGGTGCCAGAGCAGGAACCCAAATCTCTCACTGACCAGAGGAGGCAGCACATGCCCCTCTCTGAGCCTCAGTTGCCTTCTTTCAAGATGGGCACAGGTTGTCCAAGTGCTAGGGAGAGCATCCAGCCCCTGGAACTGTCACCTACCGCTGCTTGGAGTGTAGACCAATTCACTCAAGTTGGAAAACTGTTTGATCAACAAACATTGACTGTACAGCTCTCCTCTGACCCCACAATTCACCCCATAGACATACCCACGGGCACTATTTGTCATAGCCCCAAACTGGCAACAACCCAAGTGCCCATATACCCTAGAATGAGTCACTTGTGGTCTGTTCCCACAGTGGAATATCATGCAGCAATAAGAATGAACAAACTGCCGGAACCAGCTGGGCTCAGTGGATAGAGCGTCAGCCTGCGGAATGAAAAGTCCCTGGTTCCATTCCGGTCAAGGGCATGTATTATACCTTGGTTGCAGGCACATCCCCAGTAGGGGGTGTGTAGGAGGCAGCTGATCGATGTTTCTCTCTCATCAGTGTTTCTAACTCTCTATCCCTCTCCCTTCATTTCTGTAAAAATCAATAAAATATATTAAAAAAAATAAAAAATAATATTAAAAATAGAATGAACAAACTATTGAATGATTGAACTTGGATGAATTACAAGCAATGCTAGGCAAAAATAAATAAATAAATAAATAAATAAATAAATAAATAAATAAATAGAAAAAAGAGAAAACTATACACTGCATTGTTCCATTTACATAAAGATCCAAAGCAGACAAAATTATGTGCAACACGTCAGGATGTCAGTTTCCTTTGGAGGGGCTAGTGAAGGGGGGTATGAGAGGCTTCTGGGAGCTGTTATAGTTTTTGTGTCTGCTTTTAAAATTGAGGTGAAAATCGCATCACCTAAATGTTATAGGTCTATATCTTATTTTTAATCCTCATTTGAGGACATGCTTTGAGAGAGGAAGGAAGAGAGAGGGAGGGAGAGAGAGAGAAAAACATTGATGCGAGAGAGAAATATCGGTTGGGTCCCTTTCGCATGTTCCCTGACCTGGGATCAAACCCGCAACCCTGGCATGTGCCCTGACCTGAAATTAAACCGGCAACACTTCAGTGCTCAGGATGACACTGAGCCACTTGGGCCCAGCAAACATGGTTATATCTAGAGCTGGGTGTTGGTCATATGAATGTGTTGGGTGGTGAAAATTCACTGATGCACTTTTCTAATAAATGTTTTCTTGTAAAAAGAGATGGGCAGATAATGTTGTAAGGAACAAATGAGTCAACACAAGAATCAGTAGAATCAGGTCCTGGGGTGGCTTCCAGTGCCAGCTGGTCCTTCTCTAGCTGTGTCACCTCAGACAAATCACTTCCTCTCTCGGAGCCTTAGTTTCCATATTTGTACAACACAATGATAATATCGGTTTCAGAAGAGCCTTCTTTTACTGAAAAAAAAAATGTTTCCTGAGTGCCTACTACGTGCTAGGTGCTGGAGAAGCCATGGGGGAACTAAACAAACACGATTCCTGCCCTCCTGGAGCTCACAGTTTAGTGAGGGAGACAGATCCCGAACACAAATGCAAGACATTTCTACCTGATGGGGACATGGAAGAAAATAGGCAGAATGGAGTAGAGGGGCTGAGCAGAACTAATTCTCTCTGAACTGGAAAAATCCAGGAAGGCATCCCTGAGGAGGTGACCTTTGCAACCTGAAGCTTGAGAAGGAGCTGGCCATGGGACGAGCAGGTTAGGGAGAAAGAACAGTTTGTGAAAAGGCCAGGGAGACTGGCATCCAGGGGGTGACAATAGGCCCTGCATTTTTCATTTTTTAAAAAATTTTTACAGAGAGAAAGGGAGAGGGATAAAGGGTTAGAAACATCAATAAGAGAGAAACATCAATCAGCTGCCTCCTGCAGGCCCCCTATTGGGTATGTGCCCGCAACCAAGGTACATGCCCTTGACCGGAATCGAACTTGGGACCTTTGAGTCCGCAGGCCGACGCTCTATCCACTGAGCCAAACCATTTTCATGTGTACTGGGCCTTAAAATTCTATAACCTGTCCCGAGGAGGAGGGTGTTCAGGCGGCAGGTACACACCCCTTAGATATGCCCATCTTATTCATACTGTATCAGGCTACTCACCCCACCCTCTCGCCCCTGCTCCACACACACGGAGTCTCCCTGGGTTCTGCTGCATCCCTGAGCGTTTACCACCTCTTTGCATACTGGCTCCACTCCCAACTTCCTGCATTTTTTGCTGGAGGAGTCTCTCTGACAGATGGAGCCCATGCCACACATAGCCCCAAAGTGCCAGAGAATTAACTTTTCCCTGAGGGAAGCCCTCAGCCAACGACTGGGAGCTAGTGGATCAATACCCCAGTTTCCTCACTTCTGTTTTTAAATATATTTTATTGATTTTTTTACAGAGAGGAAGAGAGAGGGATAGAGAATTAGAAACATCGATGAGAGAGACTAATCTATCAGCTGCCTCTTGCACACCCCCTACTGGGGATGTGCCTGCAACCAAGGTACATGCCCTTGACTGGAATTGAACCCAGAACCCTCCAGTCTGCAGGCCGAAGCTCTATCCACTGAGCCAAACCAGTTTTGCTTCCTCACTTCTTCTTCTTTTTTTTAATTTTATATATCTATGTATTTTATTGATTTTTTACAAAGAGGAAAAGAGAGGGATAGAGAGTTAGAAGAAACATCAATGAGAGAGAAAAACCAATCAGCTGCCTCTTGTGCACTCCCTACTGGGGATGTGCCTGTAACCAAGGTACATGCCCTTGAAAGGAATCGAACCTGGGACCTTTCAGTCCAAAGGCCAACGCTCTATCCACTGAGCCAAACCGGTTTCAGCCCAGTCTCCTCACTTATTGGCGGGATAACTTAGAGATACATATCCCAGGCTGTCCTCCGGAAGTCCCTAGTGGGATTGAGCTCCATGTGTCCCTGAGGCCAACTTGCTTGATAAAGCACCCTTTCTGGGCTTCCTCCCTTTTCCCACCTCTTTTCCTTGTCCCCCCGGGGATCTGTCCTGGGATCGCCTGCCAGGCTACATGCACTGGAATGTGTATCTCAGGGCCTGACTCTGGGCAAACACAGACGATGCGCAGACACGGGCTTTCCTCACACAATCTCTTTATTGGAGGTCTGTGGCCGGCATGGTCACTAGCGGCAGCTTCCTCTTGGGTCTCCTGGAGGCGCTCCTGGCAGTCCTTCGCTTTACAGTCTGGAAAAGACAAGAGTCTGTGAGGCTTGGGGGTGGGGTGAGGGCGGGTCTCCTGGCTCATGGCGGGAGCCTGAGGAAGAGGACAGAGAGAGGGGACGGGTACACCCTGACTGCAGGCCAGCTTCGTGAAATAAAATGGAAGTAAGCAGGCAGCACGGGATTGGGCAGGTGTGTGCGTAGAGAGGTGTGTGCTGATCGAGGTGCTGGGGCCAAGGTTGTATTTGGGCTTCGATTGCTGCAGCATAAGGACTGTCATCAAAGGTCAGGGAGGCTGGGGTGGAGCAAGCATCCTTAGGGCTGAGATTGGGCATAAGACTGCAACAGTGAGGAGCAGGGCAGAGATGTGCAGGCAAAGCGGTTTTTGGTTAAGAGGGACACCACTTAGGTTACTGCTGGGTACAGAGAGGTCTTTTAGGTAGGGGCCTGAGGTGAGGCCCAAGTGAGGTGGGTTGGGAGGAGGTTGTGCAGGCAGAAGCGATGTGACGTGGGTATAGGGGATGCAGACCAGGCTGTGAGGGCAGAGGGGTGGGGGGCAGCAGGAACCAGGGTCCATGCCCTGTTTGTGAGCGCAGAGGTATTGGAGGCTGGGCAAACAACAAGCTGGCCGGGTCAAGGCTTCGGCTAAGGTTCTGCCAACAGAGGACAGGAGATGGGACATGTTGTGAGCAGAACAACTTCAAGGCTGGGACTCGGTTGCCGAAATAGAAGGGCTGCCAGGGAGACCAGGGCCTGGCTGAAGCTGTGTGAGTAGAGAGAGGGGTTACAGGAAAGGGAGGGGCCTGCTGAGGTTGGGCTGACAGGCCAGGGTCAGGGGCTGAGCTGGTGGTGACAGGTGGGTGGCAGGCCCGGGTCAGGCGGACTCACCGCGTCGAAGTGCGGCCAGGAGCGCAGCTGGCGGAAGAGAGCGTCGCCCGGGCAGTCGGTGTGCACAAGCTGGCGGTGGCCCAGCAGCGCGTAGTCCGGCCGCAGGAGGCCGGCGCGCACCGCGCACCCGGGGAGCGTGTCGCGCACGGTGCGCAGCGCGGCCTCGGCCGGCAGCTCGGCCGTGTAGTTGCCCACGAAGGCCACGCCGAAGCCCCGGGAGTTGTGGCCCAGGGTGTGCGCGCCTACCCGGTGCCAGCCGCGGCCCTCGTACACGTAGCCGTCCGAGCCCACCACGAAGCTGCGGAGAGGGGGCAGGCGCCGCGCGGCGTCAGGGCTGCCCTGGCCAGTCCCGCTTTTGGCTGGACAGTCCCGATTTTCAACAATTTCCCCCGCGTCCCTAGGCGTTTTAAAAATCTTTCCAATCTTTCCAAAAATCGAGACTTTTTTTTTTTAAAACGCCAAAGGGACGCGGGAAAAATTGTTGAAAATCGGGACTGTCCAACCAAAAGCGGGCCGATCTGATCACCTTAGCTAGGGTCGCACTGAGCCTGGCCCACAGCGTCCCACTCCTCCACCAAATGTCACTCTAGAAGCCCTCCG